CCCCCCCCCCCCCCCCTCCCCCTTTGCCCCTTCCCCCCCCCCTCCCCCTTTTCTTATAACCCCTTTATACCTAACCCCCCCCCCCCCCCCCCCCCGGATCGCCCATCATGTGGTAAGTTCTCCCTCAACGGCTTGACCGACACTTGCTCACAAACACAGTGGAATCTTTGGCTACATCAACTACCTGGTGGAGAAAGACCGCAAATTCATCATCACAACCCTGCTCAATGGTAAGTCTCACAGCTCTCTCCCGCTCAGTATCATCCGCTCACCGTCAATTTCCAGGTCTTTCCCGATTGGAGTACCGTGGCTATGATTCCGCCGGTATGGCCGTGGACGGCAACAAGAAGAATGAAGTCTTTGCCTTCAAGGAAGTCGGCAAGGTCGCCAAGTTGAAGGAACTCATCGAGCAGAGTGAGGCCGACATGAGCAAGACCTTCGAGTCACACGCCGGTATCTCCCACACTCGCTGGGCCACTCACGGAACCCCCTCCCGCCAAAACTGCCACCCCCACCGGTGAGTCTCCCTAGATTCTTCCCCCTCACCCCGGGTGAATGAAGATCACAATCATGACTGACTTGGAATTCATAGCTCCGACCCCGCCTGGGAGTTCTCCGTCGTCCACAACGGTATCATCACCAACTACAAGGAATTGAAGGCATTGCTTGAGTCCAAGGGCTTCCGATTTGAGACCGAGACCGACACAGAGTGCATTGCCAAGTTGGCCAAGTACCTCTATGACCAGCACCCCGATATCGAATTCACAGTCCTGGCCAAGGCCGTCATCAAGGAGCTCGAGGGTGCCTTCGGATTGTTGATGAAGTCCGTTCACTACCCCCATGAGGTCATTGCGGCCCGCAAGGGTTCCCCCTTGGTCATTGGTGTCAAGACCTCCAAGAAGATGAAGGTGGATTTCGTCGATGTCGAATATTCCGAGGATGGTGTCCTTTCTGCGGAGCAGGCCTCCCAGAACGTGGCCGCCAAGAAGTCCGCCACCAGCTTGCTCGCCCCCCCAGACAAGTCCCTCCTGCACCGCTCCCAGTCTCGGGCTTTCCTGTCCGACGATGGTATCCCCCAGCCGGCCGAGTTCTTCCTGTCCTCGGACCCCTCCGCCATCGTGGAGCACACCAAGAAGGTCCTCTACCTGGAGGATGATGACATTGCCCACATCCACGAGGGTCAGCTGAACATCCACCGCCTGACCAAGGATGACGGCACCTCCAACGTCCGTGCCATTCAGACCATTGAGCTTGAGCTCCAAGAGATCATGAAGGGCAAGTTCGACCACTTCATGCAGAAGGAGATCTTCGAGCAGCCCGAGTCCATCGTCAACACCATGCGTGGTCGTTTGGACGTTGCCAACAAGAAGGTCACTCTGGGTGGTCTTCGTCAATACATCTCGACCATTCGTCGTTGCCGCCGCATCATTTTCATTGCGTGTGGTACCAGTTACCACTCCTGCATGGCAGTGCGTGGTATCTTCGAGGAGTTGACCGAGATCCCCATTGCCGTCGAGCTGGCCTCCGACTTCCTGGACCGACAAGCCCCTGTCTTCCGTGATGACACCTGTGTCTTTGTTTCTCAGTCTGGAGAGACCGCCGACTCCCTCATGGCCCTCCGCTACTGCCTGGAGCGTGGTGCCCTGACTGTCGGTGTGGTCAACGTGGTTGGATCGTCCATCTCTCTCCTCACCCACTGTGGTGTGCACATCAACGCCGGTCCCGAGATCGGTGTGGCCTCCACCAAGGCCTACACTTCTCAGTTCGTGGCCATGGTCATGTTTGCTTTGTCCCTCAGTGAAGACCGTGCCTCCAAGCAGAAGAGACGCGAGGAGATCATGGAGGGTCTTGGCCAGATTTCCGAGCAGTTCAAGCAGATCTTGAAGCTCAACGACCCCATCAAGGAGTTGTGTGTCAAGTCCTTCAAGAACCAGAAGAGCTTGCTCTTGCTGGGCCGTGGTGCTCAATTCCCCACTGCCCTCGAGGGTGCCCTGAAGATCAAGGAAATCTCCTACCTCCACTGTGAGGCCGTCATGTCCGGTGAATTGAAGCACGGTGTCCTGGCCCTCGTGGACGAGAACCTTCCCATCATCATGATCCTGACCCGTGACGACCTGTTCACCAAGTCCCTGAACGCTTACCAGCAAGTCATTGCTCGCGGTGGCCGCCCCATCGTCATCTGCAACAACGATGACCCCGACTTCTCCGCTGCCGAAACCGAGAAGATCGGTGTCCCCAAGACCGTGGACTGTCTTCAGGGTCTACTCAATGTCATTCCCCTGCAGCTGATCTCCTACTGGCTTGCCGTGGGTGAGGGCCTGAATGTCGACTTCCCTCGTAACTTGGCCAAGTCGGTCACCGTCGAGTAAATCAGTGTTTTTTCCGCCAGTTTAGACGACTCTTATGATCCGGTCATCTGTTTATCTTTTAGGTGTTTTAGCTTCGGGGAGAATGGAATCTCGTTTTCTTTTCTTTTTCTCTTTCTTTCTCTATGTGGAGTGTTTGTAAATGGGAGAAAGATTCTCGTGTAGATGTGAAGTAAATAGTATGAAGTGAAGTCGAGACGGAGCTTTGGTGCGGAGGTTGGTAAGCGCCGACATTCCACCCCGCCAAATGCGGGATGTTCACTTCTGCTCTCTCGCCACCATTGTTTTCTCTTTAATACTTCACTTCACTCTTCAACATGACTTCTATTAAAGGCCCCGGTGCTGCTCAGACCCATGATGGTGTGTTTCTCCCGCTTGCGACAAGACCTTGTTGCTGATCATAGTAGGGTCCGGACTTCGTGTCGCCATCATTCATGCCAGATGGAACGCCACAATTATTGATCAGCTTGTCGCGGGTGCCAAGAAGAACCTGCTCGCCGCTGGCGTGACTGAGGACAACATCACTGTGCAGACAGTTCCCGGCAGCTACGAGCTCCCCCTCGGCGTGCAACGGTAAGTCACGGAGTCGTTGAGGAAGGTTGGATGGGACACGACCTAACAGAAGCTAGACTTTACGCGGCCTCCCAGCTCCAGGCCAATTCCTCTGGCGAAGGTATCAGCGCTACTGACCTTCTGTCTTCGCCGACCACCGAGACCTCTGGCTCTGCAGCCCCCTCAAGCCCCAAGAAGCCCTTTGATGCCATCATTGCCATTGGTGTTCTGATCAAGGGCGCAACTATGCACTTCGAATACATCGCCGACGCTGTCAGCCATGGGCTCATGCGTGTCCAGCTGGACTCGGGCGTTCCTGTGATCTTCGGCCTGTTGACCGTTCTCACAGAGGAACAGGGGCTGGAACGCGCTGGCCTTGGAAAGAATGGTATGCACAACCATGGCGAGGACTGGGGCAGTGCTGCCGTGGAATTGGGTCTGAAGCGAAGGGAGTGGGCGGAGGGCAAGATTTTGTGAAGGGCGCAAGTAACTTAAGAAGCCTTACGGGGCTACGATTTCCACCCCGGGAGCACTAGGAAATTTGGATATTGAATACTACTACAATCATCTACAATCATATGAGTGTTCATCCTTGTTTCTCTTGTGGTTCTTTCTTGGGGCCCCAGCAGCTTCACAGAATCATAATTCTTTGGGAGCATAATCTATTACATGTTCACTCTTCCATCTGTTCACCTTGGCCTTTATCTTCCTCATCCTCATCATCGCCCTCCAAGGATCGCTTCGCGGCCTTCTCAGCTTCTTCCAGAAGGTCCTTGGGAACCTCCTCGTGGCGGCCCTTGGTAGGTCCATCAACTGCGCTAATCCAGGTCATCTCCAGCTCGAACTCCTTGTCCTTACTGTCTTCGTGGGCGACATAGATAATGCGGGCTGCTTCCTTCACACCGTCGGCCAACGAGAGGTTACCGGAGGTCAGATCTAGCTTCTCCAGCTCGGCCTTGGCGGCCTGTCGGCCCTTGCCAGTCGCGGCACCGTAATATCCCTATCAAACAAGGTCAGTCAAAGCTCCATGCGCACACAGACCAGCTGGCACATACCCAATAGAGACCACTGGGCTCAATCATGTATAGACCGGGACCGCCTGCTTTCGCGCCCTCGACCTTTCCGCCGGAGCCTGACTTGGGTCCGTTGCCGACCTGTCCATCTACCGGGACCTCTGCTTCGCTGTCCCAACCACCCACAATCGCGGTCACACCGAACGGCCGTACACTGGAGTAAAGCGTGTACGCTTGCACGTATCCACCCAACCGGTTGGCCAGGGCATTGGTTGGGATGGGGCCCTTGTAAGTACCTCTCCACGAGGAAGCCTCATCTCTAGCTCTGGAAACGAAGTGACGGCCATCGGGGACGAGTCCGGAGGAAACCTAGAAGCAGGACACACCAGTTAGCGAGTATTCCCGAGATCGCATTTGGGGGGAGTTCACGTACAATGCCAACGTGACGATCCACTGTCGCGATTCTCTTATTGGCTCCTGGCTTTAGGAGCTTGCTGGTGATGATCTTTTCCACTGCCAACACAACACCATCCTTGCATCTGATGCCGACAGCAGTACCGCCGTTTTCCACTGCTTTGACGGCATATTCGACCTAGGCGGTATGAGTATCGGTAGAGCTCTAGACGGATGAGCTGAGTGGAATGCGTACCTGGAAATTCCGGCCATCTGGTGAGAATACCGAGTTGGAAAGATCGTAACCTGTGCCAATTGACGTCTGATAATAGAATGGATTAGCTAGGATTCCCGAGGACCACCTGTTCGACTGACCATCGCGAGGATTTCCCGAAGTTTTTAAAACGTGAAAATGAAGAGAAAACAAGATCAAGCTGATGTAGCTTCAAGGGAAGATTATGGAGACAAAATGGATAAGGTGAGGTTGAGTCCAGTGCAGCTCAGTGATGTCGCGTCACGGGGTTGCCTGCAAGCTCGAGATCACATGATCACGACCTACTCGATACTTCTGCGTTGTATGTGGTTCCCATAGTATCAGTGGGTACTAACTATGTACCTTGCTATTGGATAGTATATAACCTTTTAGAAGACAGTCGAGTGCAGCCCAACAAGCACTTGGGCATTGATCTTCTACACTTTATATTCTACATTTTCGACACTTTACACAATGTATTCATCTCTGTTCTTTGCCGTTCATAACCATGTCATCTTCCATATTGCATCAGTGTCCCCAGTGCGGGCATGTCTCTGACATCTCTCATGCCCTAGCAGCCTTCATCGAGAACCCCCACTGTACACAGGTAGATCATCCCCTCCACACCGACAGACACTAAACTGACGGTCTTTTTTTTTCTCTCTCTTTGAAGTGCGGTTTGTCTGCATCGGAAAGCAACCAGAAAATGCAAGATGAACTGGCTGCATTGTTTGATAGGCAAATGAGCATGACATCCTTCCATCCAGTCCAAACTTCTGTCGGTTCAGGGTCCGAGAATTCGAACATTTCTCAAGGTCTATTGCAACAGGGACACCAAGCCCCCAATTACTCCAGCATGGACGTTCTAAGATATCACGGGCTGGACCCAAGCAGCCTGACCCCCGACCAGTTAGGGTTGTTCGAGAACGCCGGCGCAGAACAAAGAGAGAGGTTGATCCAAACATGGCAACTATACTCTCAAATTGGGGCCCCCGACTCGACCATGACGGATTCTTCCATGGACGAGGAAACCACGCCCGCCGAACCGTACATGATTTCCGGCTACGAGGCCAGCAGTTCTCTTCCAAATGAGCCTACTACCGGACAGCCATATGCTGGTTCTAAAGACCCCGTGTACCAAAGCCAAGAATGGTGGGAAATGACTAAAGCCGGCCCCATGGAATCAAGCTATGGGGCATTTGAAGAGATGAGACGATACTACCCCAGCTGTGGTGTATATCGGTGTTAGCGGTTGAGCCGACAACTTCCCGAGTCCCTGCTGGTTGGTGGCCGAGGAATCCTAATTTCAGTTCATCTTTGAGATTAGCTTAAGATACACAATTCAATCTACGGTTTGAACAAAAGGTTCAGGGAGAAATCAACCCATTGATTGTAGTTAAGTGGTTGTCTGGTAAAAAACATGTCACATTCCCCATGAATCGAAACGCATGCCATGGCCAATGGTCAAGATAAAAGAGTGTCCGCCACTGGCATCCTCATCAGATCGTTCCGTGCAATCCAGGCTTTCCGTAATTTGGTATGAAAGGGGAACATGATTCCGCACGAATGGGAAGAGACTGTATACCAGAGTTAGTAGGAGTTCACACCGAGCAGAAAGGACTGAAAACATACATTTACTCATCGACGTGAGAGTCGAGAGCATCCATGGCCTCAGCCAATTCATCGGCAGTGCGCTGAACTTCCTCGGCAGCGAGAGCGGCACGCTTGGCCTTGGCGCAGCCCTGACCGGGGTGGGCACACCACTTGGGGATTTCGGTGGGGAAGTCCTTGGCCATGGCCTCGGCGAGAGCCTCGGCGGAACGCTTGACCTCCCAGGAGGAATCGGCAGAGCGCTTCATCATGTAGCAGCCCTGACCGGGGTGGGCACACCACTTGGGAATGCTGCCGTAGGGGCGGGGAGTGGTCTGCCTGTTCACAGGCTCGGCCTGCACGACGGTGGCGCCAAGAACGGCAATAGCGATGGTGGTGAGCTTCATTCTGACTTGAGGTGATCAACCGAAGTAGGAATTGACGAGTTGGTTTGTAGAGCGAGAGACACAGACGATGAGAGCTCGAGAGATGTCTGGAGGAAAGAAAGACACGGCGAGATGAAGCATTTTATATCTTCCGGTGGTCTATCCAGGGCCCTGGGCGCAACTGAGTTCAATAACAGACATCATGGGCAGTCAAAGAAGACGGTCTGCCTCAATAACCGTGAATAAGGTCGAGTTGTTCGGGGAGAGCGGAGAGTATCCCCATCGAGGCTCAATAGAGACATTTCATAGAGGGACCTCTAGGTCAATAAGAGGGAATGCTTTCAAGAGACGAGCATGTTGATGGATATTTGACCCAAAGTAGGAGTCAATAAGGTGAATAGGAGTAGAAAAGAAAGAAGAAGATGCAAAAGCCAAGAGAATGAATAAGGTGACTTTTGATAAGATCGGGCCGGCGCTAACCAGAGTTGATGCCGAGCCCATCCGGAACCCTTTTTTTCCGTTTTCCCATTCTGATCCTTTCCCCCCCTTCGTGATCGCTCTCTACTCCCATCTTATTGATCTTTCTTTGTGTCTGCATCATGTTCTCCAGAACGGCCCAACCTGCTCGGGTAAAGTTTCCATTTCGCCCTTTTTTTTTTTGCTTTTTTCCCCCGTGCGCTTGGCTAACGTGCGCTCTTAGACTGTGCTCCGCAGCGCTTCCGCAGCTTCTTCTCTCGGTCGCTCCGTTCCTGCGAGATGTATGTCTCAATTGATCTCTGGAATTGCCTCCTCTAGCTAACATGTGCGCCTAGCCTTCGCCAGTCTCCAGTCTGACACCTTCAAGCCTACCAAGTATGGTGGCAAGTACACCGTCACCCTGATTCCCGGTATGTCTCGCGATTCCTCTGCTGGCGGTGCGCGGAGCTAAACAATGAAACTAGGTGATGGAATTGGTGCCGAAGTCGCAGAGTCAGTCAAGACCATCTTCAAGGCCGACAACGTTCCCATTGAGTGGGAGCAGGTCGACGTGAGCGGTGTCGACACCGGTAACAAGCACTCCGAAGAGCTTTTCCGCGAGTCCCTCGCCTCCCTCAAGCGCAACAAGCTCGGTCTCAAGGGTATCCTCCACACCCCTGTCGAGCGATCGGGCCACCAGTCCTTCAACGTCGCCCTTCGTCAGGAGTTGGACATCTACGCCTCCATCTCGCTGATCAAGAACATCCCCGGTTACGATACCCGCCACAAGGATGTTGACCTGTGCATCATCCGTGAGAACACCGAGGGTGAGTACTCCGGCCTCGAGCACCAGTCCGTCCCCGGTGTCGTCGAGTCCCTGAAGATCATCACCCGCGCCAAGTCCGAGCGCATCGCCAAGTTCGCCTTCAGCTTCGCTCTGGCCAACAACCGCAAGAAGGTCACCTGTATCCACAAGGCCAACATCATGAAGCTGGCCGACGGTCTCTTCCGCAGCACATTCCACAAGGTCGCTGAGAACTACCCCACCCTGGAGGTCAACGACATGATTGTCGACAACGCCTCCATGCAGGCTGTCTCCCGCCCCCAGCAGTTCGACGTCATGGTCATGCCTAACCTTTACGGAGGTATCCTGTCCAACGTCGGTGCCGCCCTCGTTGGTGGACCCGGTCTCGTTCCCGGTTGCAACATGGGTCGTGATGTCGCCGTCTTCGAGCCCGGTTGCCGTCACGTCGGTCTTGACATCAAGGGCAAGGACCAGGCCAACCCCAGTGCCATGATCCTGTCTGGTTCCATGCTTCTGCGTCACCTTGGTCTTGATGACCACGCTAACCGCATCTCCAAGGCTGTCTACGATGTGATCGGCGAGGGGTGAGTAATTTCTTGAGAATCTCTATTCTTTCCATGTCTGACTTGCTAACCTTTTTCCCCAGTCAAACCCGTACCCGCGACATGGGTGGTCAGGCTACTACCCACGAGTTCACTCGCGCTGTTTTGGACAAGATGGAGGCTTTGTAAATTTTGGAATCCGTCATCCAATATCCCTGCTACGATTGAGGATCCTTGACATGCGGTAGATTCCGCATGTAAAGATCCTCATTGATGTATTATCTTTCAATTTAGCTCGAAATGTCCTGGCAAACTTATAGCAATAGACATCATTTTTCTTTTGTGATCATAATTCATTGCGTAAATCTCGGGTAAAATGTAAAATTGGGGTATTAACAGACAGGGCCATTCAAAGATTGTCCTTTTTTTTCTCTCTCTTTCAATGGGCTCGACTTTTGGCTACAGCCCAGCAAGTCATAGCAGTCGGACTCGAACTGGATAGACTGGGATTACTTGTTCCAGTCCATTGAACCAGTCTCAATCCCAAGCTCCAGTTCATGCGTCGGCACAGCATGTCAGGGGATTTGTGCAAATCCATAGCTGGTGACTTCTTGAGGTTGAGATCGAATATGTCAGACATGCTTGCAATCTGGGCCCTAGGCTCTTGTGTTTGTTGACTGTATGGGCCACTCAGAAAGCGATGCGGCGCTTGCGGCCGGTGAACTTGGAGTTGGACTTGACGACCTTGCCCTTCTTCGCCATCTGTTCCTTCTTGTTCATGATCCACGCCTTGTCGCCCTTGCGAGGAGGTCCTCGGGCATTGTTGATCTCTGCGGCCTTTCGTCGCGCATCCAACACACTCACGTCGTCCATACCATTGACCACGCCGGTGATATCACCTGGAAGACCACCACCACCAACGGTCAAGACCAAGTACAGCTTGCTGCTCTTGGTACCGGGGTCATCCTCAAGAATACCAGCACCAAAGCCAGCTTTGATGGCGGCTCCACTGATCATACTCCGCTGGGTATCGTTTTTGGGATAGAATTGACAGACGGCACGGCCACCTCGGCGGAGACTGGCGTAAAGGCCCTCGAAAAAGCGCTTCAAACGACCTTCGGCGGTCACCTCGCTGGTTTCCGCATTGCACAACCATTGGATGGCACTGATACTAATGGCGGCATCGAACGAACCAGGACGGAATGGAACGCCTTGTCCAATATCGGCGAGGAACAGATCCCCATCCACCTCCCGCTGGAGTGCTACATCCAACATGCTGGGGGAGATATCCATACCAATCCACATGTGCGGACCACCTTCTTCGGGGGACACTTCGGAGAGCATTTCACCGGATAGGCCTGAGCCACACCCCAAGTCGAGGATCAAGGATGGGGACTTTAGATCGAGGAGTTCCAGGGCACGATCGGTCATGCTCGCCTGAATGTTGCGAATTCGCGAGGACTTGGTATATTTGCGCGATTCATTGTCATTGTAGAACAAGTCCGGAGGACTAGAGAAGGTCAGTTGATTTCACATAGAGGAAATGCATGGTTCATACAGAATATCCTCAGGGCGCGACATGATTGAAGTTTGAGAAGTTGAAGTTGCCCGCAAAGAAATAAATTATTTGATGTGGGGGCAGTGCCTCAGGCCGCCACTCCCCAAAACGTCCACGTCGCAATCGCAACTCTTCCTTCTCTCTTCTCTCTCTCTTCTTTCTGTCTCTTTACTCTTGAGTGCATTCACCCTTGCATCAACATGTGGATTCTACCCTTGGTGGGATATATTGGCGTGGTGGTTGGCTTTGCCTTCCTCACACTGTCCATTGGTATGTATATGTATCTGTCGCAAGCTCTAGAGCTCAAGACCAAAACACTAACCTCAATAGCTTCGGGACTCTACTATCTCTCCGAACTTGTTGAAGAACACACAGTCCTGGCGCGCCGACTGTTAACCCGTCTGATCTACGGCATCATCGCCGTTCAAATCCTCTTGATGCTCATCGACCGATTCCCCATATCATTGTCACTGTTGAGCATTGCCTCGCACCTGGTCTATGCCAGCAATCTGCGCCGATTCCCTATTGTGAAACTCTCCGACCCGCTCTTCATCCTCTCCTGTATTCTAGTCGGACTCAACCACTGGCTATGGTTCCGTCATTTCTCGAAGCCCCTCCCCCCATCGAACAACTGGCGCCAGCCATACGGAGTCAACTACGAGGAGATGCCCTCCTTTTCTGAAGTCGCCTCCTACTTCGGATTATGCGTATGGCTGGTACCGTTTGCATTGTTCGTCAGCCTTAGTGCGGGCGACAACGTGTTACCGACCATGGGCTCTGCGCAAGTCACAGATCGTGGGAATGGCCTCGGCCACAGTCGGGGCCCGTCTGACGGCAAATCCAAGAACAAGGGAATGGCCAAGGCGTTGGTGGATGGGGTTCGAGACTGGGCCCGGGAAAATGGGGAACTGATGGGGTTCTGGAGGGGAGAGCAAACCCGACGATTCTGAGATGATAGATGATAGACGATATAATTTGCAATAAACGGTCATTTCCCATGTCTACTATAACACGTTCAAATGTAATTATGGAAGACGAGAGTAAAGCGTGTACTAGATATCCATTGCCGTGCCATCTCGGGTCATCTTTCCAATATATTGATCGTCGAAAATATAAGGAGTATAGACATAGAGTGAGAAGGGCTGAAACAGAGAACCAAAAACTCAGTAGATGGAAATCAGAGAAAGAAAGGAAGAGAGAGAGAGAGAAGAAAGAGAAGGGAATAAGTAAGAAAAGAGAAAGAAAAAGAAGAAAAAACGGGGTATAACGACGAGCCTCCAGATCTCAACTCCAAGATGGACAACTGCATCTTGATTACCATTATCATTAAACATTCCCTTGCGACTCTGAGATTGCCAAGTGGGTAAAGTCATCGTTCTGCAGTCATGCAAGTCGTAATTGGTGACATTTCCAAAGAAAATATTCAGTTTCACTTGCCCTGGTAGAAGGAAGGATCTGGAACAGGATTAGCAGATGTAGATGTGTCAAATAGTTTCCATCTTACCATCCATAAAGAGCATTGAGCTTTCTCGTCGCTTCGTTTTCGCCGAACGAGTGTCCTCGGAATTGTTGGGCAACAGCATGCCATTCAGAGAGGAATATGGAACAGAGGACCCGGCAGGTTGGTTGTATTGTTCATGCCGAGACGTCGGTTGGTCATAACTGGGCTGCATCGGGATGAAACCAGTGTTGTAGGGCGTACTGGGGCCGTCGGACGGAGCGTTCCCCTGAGTCGGTCCCCGGAAGGAAGTCTGATGATACGAAGGCGTAGGAATATCAGAGAACATCTGGTGGCGCGGGGACCGAATGTCATCGGGGGACAGAGAATGGTCCACGGTCAGTTCTTTCGTGGTAGAGGAACCTTTGTCGGTATCCCCAAAGATGCTGTCATAGTCCGTGAGGAACATGGAGAAGACCGGCGCGGGAATATTGAGGGTCGGCGCAAATACGATGCCCACATTTCGGACAGTCATCTTGTTCACTTCCGAGTTTTCCACGATCTCAATCAAGAACTGCGAAAGAGCTCGCAACAGAGACAAGTTGGGGCTAGGCAGTTTATGCACGAGAGCGTTGAAAGCAAGAACCTTCTTCTGACGATCGTCGAGCTCGAGGACGCGAAGGAAGTCCAAATGGAGTTCCCGGGTCAACACGGTCGTGGGAAGTTCTCGAAGGTATTGTTTGAAAAGAGAGGCGACGGCATGGATGTCGTAGTACTGATCCCCAGACACAAAGTCCACATCACCCTCGGTGTTGAATCGTTCCTTGAGCGCCTTGATCACCACGTTCGAGCCGCTCAGACGGAAAATGCCTTCCTCCAGAGCTGCTTCTTTGGCATGAAGATATTCAATACAGCGGTAAACCACCGCCGGGAGCTCCACGTCAATACCAGGCGGCGCACAGTCCTGAACAGCATCTGCCAGGGGTATGCCAAAGACGGGCCTGACGGGCCCGGTTCGTTCGACCGCTGCAGAGGTTAACGTCTCGCTGCTAGCCTGAGCCTGGGCGGCCAGATCAAAGGAAGATCGGGTGCGGAATCCCCAGATGCTACGCTTTTTCTCTTTGGTCGACGTCTTGGCCTTATTGCCCCAAGCCTCCACGTCCTGGATGACTGCACCGTTGGTGGGCCCGGAAATCAGTCTGGGTGACTGCATTGGATGCTCAGGAGATGACATGTTCAGCTCTCTGAACTCGGTTGACAGAGATCCCGGTAGCTTTGGGGATCGGGGCGCCTGCTCAAGAGTCGATCCCATCATCGGAGGTTCGGCTGGCACTGCGTCGTCAAAGCTAAAGCCAAAGCCTTGGACGGAGTTTCCTGAGTCCTGGTCAGGACTATCGACGCCCCGACCAGACTTCTTACCTCCGCTGAACAATTTTGACTTGGTCTCGGTTGAGTTCTGTTTTGGCTGTGGTTCTTGGGGTTGAGATTGACCCTTCGAGGATACACTCCCTTGTCCTTCATTTTCGGAAGAAACACTCTCAACGTATTCCATCAGGGCATCGACCCAGGTATCACGCTCATCATCGCTTTCAGAGCAAAGGACATGACGGACAAGTGCAGACGAGTCCTTCTTCTTGGGTTCCAAAATCAAAAACGCATGGCGATACTGATTATCAGTGTCATCTTCGCCTCCTGGAGGCGAAGCAGAACTGTCGGCTGCTTTGGTAGATTGTTTCCCAATCTGAGCATGATGAAGCTTGATGGTACCCATGTGCTGGCCGCCAGGAGATTCGAAGTACTTCAGTTCAGGACCATCTAGGACGAAGTATCTTTCCTTCCATCCACCAAAGCTTTTCCCTCGCTTGGTCAAGTATCCCTGTTTCTGAGGTTTCCCATCAGGCCCGCGGGCGAGATCAGGTTTTGCCTGAGCGAGGCCCTTGAGCAAATTGGTCTCATCATCCCGAGGCTCAATGGCATCATTTGTCAGGAATTGACAAATGGCGAGAGCGGCGTTTTCGTCCATGGGGGTGTCCAGAATACTGTCAAAGTATGCATTCAGCGCAGCCCGCCTCAGATCAATCTTGGCCGGCGAATGGCCGTTGAAGATATTCCTGTCCGGTAGTCTTCCAGCGAAAGATGAGGTTTGTCTCATCTTGTGATCGAGTTGAGGTAGAGACCCAATCACCTTTTCGACTCGCCATAGCTCCGACATCTCGGATCGAGAGATCACGCTGAGAGTAAAGACCGGCTCCTCTTCTTGCGACTTGGACATCATATAACTATTCCGAGAGGGTCGGAGTCGTGAGGAAGATACTTTGACCTGAATCAAAGGAAGAGCATTGGGAGACAGAAGCAGACCCGGGTACTCCTCCGACACTAGCCCCTGGTATATTCCGTTGTCGGCGAAGTGTGCGGACCTGGGGCTATCTATCATGACGTTCGGGTCAATTGATGGGATTGGGCCATTGGCCCTTCCATTCGAAGGGGGAGGGGCGAATCCCATGGGGTTGTTTGCCATTCTGGGAGAGAGAGGCAAGCCAGGAGCCTGGTAGCCGACTGCTGGGACACCGCCCACCTCTCGCGGCATGCGCGGCAATGGAGAGTTAATGGGCCGGTCTTCTGGTCGCGGACTCATGGGGAGACCCGGACTCAAAGGCATAGCGGCGATAGAGCGCCCAGCGAACGATGGAGGAGGAGGCCGAGAGTTCAACATGGAACCTAGGGAGTTGGAGCCGCCGACGTTCGGCGGCGATCTCGAAGACAGCTCACGCGGAAGCATTTCTGGACTGGCAGAGATTGCTTGGTCCTGCGGGCTCTGAGAAGTCGCCGCATTGGCTGGTAGAGATTCGAGCACCCCCTTCTGCAGGGCAATCTCTCGGTCTTGGTCGTCCTGCTCTCTCGTCTTTCGCCTTCCTCGATCTACGCTCGGGGGCCCACCTGCTTCATCGCCATAATCCGAACCAGAGTCGGACCCTGGATGCGCTGCTTGCTTGGTTTCGGCTTGACGCAGCTTCAAAGGCGCAGGTGGTGCCTTGCGGCTTGGGTTTGAGAACTTGCTCTTGCCTTCTCCAGTGGGGGACGCGATACTGGTGGGCGACGCGACATCAGAGGCAGAGACGGGACTGGCAGCGTTGTCTAGCCCTCGCGAGGCGTCTGAGGGGGGTATTATAGATGGTCGATCGGGCGCCTGCGTCCTTTCTCCCTTATCACTGCCAATTCCTTCGACAGCTCCAGCAGCTGCCGGCGGAGGAGCATCTTGCAAGTCCTTGAGTTTTTTCCTATATTTATCCTTCTCCTGCATAGAGCGCTCGAGATCTTTGTTCAGGCCGAGGATTAACGTCCTTTGCTTGTCCACGAGTTTCCATAATTGCGAGTTCTGGGAGGCTGCCTGGTGTTTCTCTTTCAATAGGTGTACGATCACCGCCTCTGCCGACCCAGCCGCGTTGATGAGATTACTGATATCGGCTGGACTCAACGAGTTGGCATCGAATGTTGACCTTTGGGAGACCGAAGACAGGGAGGAGATCGCGGAGTCAATCGAGGAGGTACGCGGCATGGCGCGATGTATTGGGCGGTCTCCCGACATGGAGTGTATTGAGCTCACCGAAGATGATGCGGATCTGTCGGGCTCCGACGCGCGGGATTTGGATGTAATTTCGCCTGACGGTTTGCTACTGGTAGATTCGGTGTCTACCATTTCTGGCGATTGCGACAAGCTATGACCAGTGCCGGAGGGTGGCGCGGGGAATGCTGCATTGGCCACACGTGCGATTGGCGACCGGGGCTTCGACGGAGAGGGATGGGCGCTGGATCTCGGGGATAAAGGGCTCTGGGATGATACTGAGCCGTCTACCAGGTGCGACTGAGGCAGGGAGCTTGTATGCAATGGGGACGGGGTAATGTGGCGGCCAGGAGACGGCATGGGGCGGTCTGATCGAGCTAGATAATCCCTCGGAATGAGGCCGTTTGCTGGAAAGGGCTGAGCTTTCACCGAGCTTTCATCACTGCCTCGCCGCGGAAGTTGCGACATTACAGGTGAGATTCATTCGAGGGGTTGGCAACACGAGGCGAAGGCCCAGATGGCGCGGGACCGAGCTTAAGCGCCGAAAAAGGAAAAAAAGGGGCTCAGACAGCCGATGGAAGTATCACATTCAAGAGAAGAGAGAGAGAGAAGTAAGCCAAAGAAGCAAATATCCCAAAAAAATACTTGTATAAAAAGTTGGAGAAAGTGAAGTGGGGGGAAGGGAAAAGGGGCTAAGAGTCTCCATATACAATTTTATACTTATGGAGCACTTAGTACTTAACGGACTTAACGGAGTACTACAACCCTTACCATCTGAATACATAAATTATCTCTCGAATGCCATAGTAAATAAGTTAGACCCCTTCGATATAGAAGTAACAGTTCGGCGTAATGCAGTGAAACACAACTCTATAGATATTCGGAATCGAACCAGGTCCATGCTGGAATTTCAGACTCTCTATCAAAATCGAGGACTCCCATAAATGCATTTATGATACATGAAAAATAAAAGAACAATTAAGCCATGTTACCGGCCATGCCCATGAAAATAGCTTGGGCGGCCAACTGAAGGGACCAGAAGCCAACCTTCTTGAATCGCCGTTTCCGAGCTTCATCATCAACCACATCACGGGCAAAGGCATCATAGGTCTAATGCGGTCAGCATGCAGAAGAGAAAGAGGGGGAAACCAAGGGGAAAACTTACCGCCGCCGACAGATCATCCATCAAACTACTGTCAAAGACGGTCCAGCTGCCATTGAAATCACCAACCCGCTTCACCAGGCGGCAATTGATGGGGATAAATGTGCGTTTGGAGTTGATATAGGCGACAATTGGCCGGATCAGAGCGTTATTAATGTAGGAGAGGTCTCGAGTAAAAATGGGCACAACGGCCCGGACATTGTTGAGGTGTACCCGTAGGTCCATAACAAGGAAACGTCGGTCCTCAGTCTCAGAATCAGGGTTGGCGTTAGGGGAAAGAGGCTCCGGATATCGGTTAGAGGTGACAGTGGCTTCTAACCGATCGTAGAAATCAGCCATCACTTTGGCTAGACTCTCATCGTTCTCGGAGGGCAACATAATGTCAGCCACGATGTCCACGGTTCCCTCGTGAATCCAGGAGAAAGGTCCCTGGACACCACGATTGAGATGATCCACATTGAGCCCATCCACACGGATCCGATTATGTTTCTTCCACGGGTTGGATTTGCCGTCCTCTTCGATCCCGCTGTCGATGCGGGAATTTCCAAAGCCATGGGTTTGACGAGCGTGAATGGTGAAGAGAGAATTGTCGTAGGACCCAGACATCATATTAGCGGAAAGGAAGTCATAAAAGAGCCATTGTTTGCGTAATTGGGGCAGATCGCACGAGAAGATGCTGACGGAGAAGGGGCGGAAATTGTCGGGTTGATAAATGGTGACCAGCAGGTCATGCATCTTGAAAGAGTCAATCTCAAAGTCGCCTGGATTGTGCTCATGTCGATAAGACTTGGGATCCAAATCCTCTTCTGGCCAAAAGACGTGTCGGCGGTCGACAACACCTCGAATTCCCTTCACTTCAACGTCGTGGAGGGGTCCCTTTCCATTCAGCCATTTGGTGAAGGAAAGCGTGACGTTGACTGTCTCGATAGACAGATCGAATTGAGTGTAATTAGTATCTTCCTCCTCGTCCGAAGCGACTAGATTTTCGTCAAATCCAGGTTCCCCTCGAGCCGCGGCAGCTTCTGCAGCAGTCTTGGGCGAGCCTTTGCTGACATGGCCTGCGCCTTGGCCAGGCCGTTTGGACACGAAGACATTTTTGAAGGTGATGACGCCATTTCTCCATTTAGGCACGATTGCCGATTCAAAAACAACCTTGACTCCGGAGGATTTAGTGAGGTAGTTACCAACCCACCCCGCTAAGGTTTCTGCGCAGACCGATGAGAATCTAGATGTAGATGAGACCAATTTATGACTTACCTTGAGCAAAGACTGTGTTGATAGCCAGGATCAAAAGTGAGAAGAATGTCGTAGTTCCAACGACAACCCAGACAATGTGGCCCAGCAGCACCCAAGAGAACAAAGCAGCAATCTCATCCAGGTTGTATGGACGAACACTGCGGATAGAGAACCACTTGAATCGCACTTTCAAGCGGGACCAGAATCCTGTAGCTGCGGCCAGGAGCTCTTCCTTGGTCGGACGATGGAGGTGAGGCATATGGGGTAAACGATCTCTCAGGTGGCGATTCGGCGCTGTGAAATAATGGGTATCTTGGGGCTTGCTCGAAACGGTCTGATGGGAGGTATCTCTGGCGGATTCCCTGACTTTTGAAGTATGGTCATTGTCATTGTGTGCTTGCGCCGGGTGCGACGTTTCCTTGGCGCGTCGGTCATCATGGGAGGTGTGTACGAATCGTTTCCAGCTGTATTGAGTGGCGATCTTTCGGGATGGGATGATGCATGCTGCAGTAGATTCCGCCGTGGTTGAAGTTGGCGAGACACCTAGGATGAAGAATCCTCCCGAGGCAAATCTTCTGGTTAAATATGTCGGCTTTTTTGGGAGAGGTAGAGTAGAGATGCGTCGTGAATTAGGTAGGAGTCCATCGAGTAACAAGCTTGAAGCATTGCGGTTGACTCGTATGCGGCCAAAAAGTGGATTTGCTGTTTCCCATATATGGGTATACAGCCGACGTCCCAGATTGGCAGACATGTTTCTCATTACATCCTGGAGCTTAAGCAGAAAAAGAGAGAGAGAGGCGACGATAGGTAAGAAAGAGTGAGCAAGATAATTGTTGATGGAGATGAAATCATGAGTTTGTCTTGTTTGCACTGCGTTCCCACAGTTCCATTTTTTGCCGGCGAAAAGAGGGGACCGATAAATTTTGCGATAACAGAACATCTCAGGAAGAAAAAAACCTCATCTTGCATATACACATCATGTCTGCGCCTACAGCTCTTCGTCAGGCTCAGCCTCAAGCTGAACCCCAGGCTCCTTCTTACGGTTCGTCTCCCTTATTATTTTCTAAAAAATTTCATAGTCTTGATGGATCAAGCTAACGCATCTTCAGATCAAGATGACGAGATTTTGATCGATGCCCAAGCCTCGACCGAGGGCGTGCCCGCCAACCCTGTCGAGGAGTCTACCGAGGGTGAAATGCGCATCGACGAAGAAGGTCGTCCCGTCTTCACACCAGCCAAGGACGTCGCCACCGCATACCGAATTGAATCGCGAAAGGTCCCCGTCCCACCACACCGTATGACCCCGCTCAAGGCCAACTGGGCCAAGATCTGTCCCCCGATTGTCGAACACCTCAAGTTGCAGGTTCGCATGAACCTGAAGAGCCGATCCGTGGAACTGCGTACCTCCAAATTCACCAACGACGTGGGTGCCCTGCAGAAGGGTGCTGATTTCGTCAAGGCCTTCACCCTGGGTTTCGATCTCGACGACGCAATTGCTCTGCTTCGTCTCGATGACCTGTACATTCAGACTTTCGAGGTGAAGGACGTGAAGACATTGAACGGAGAGCACCTTGGTCGTGCCATTGGACGTATTGCTGGAAAGGATGGAAAGACCAAATTCGCCATTGAAAATGCCAGTCGTACCCGAGTGGTCCTGGCAGACCAGAAGATTCACATCTTGGGTGGATTCAAGAACATTCACATTGCCCGTGAGGCCATTGTCAGCTTGATTTTGGGTAGCCCTCCAGTAAGTCTCGGCCAATGCAGGACCCTAAGAACCTCCTCTAACCATGAAACAGGGCAAGGTTTACGGCAACCTTCGTACCGTTGCTTCTCGCATGAAGGAACGGTTCTGATCCAGTCATTTGCACTCGTTCGGCATGGGGTGGGCGTTCAGGATTATCAGGTTTTACACTGTCTTCTTTTTTATGATTCTAGAGACATGATGACGTACAACGTAAAGATATCAATTCATGGAAATTTCAGTCATTTCAATTATATTGGCGATCCAACGATCGATAGAATCCAGCACCTGAAAGAAAGGGAAAGCTTCGACTGTCCTCTTAATCCTTCTTCAGGGGATGGTAAATCTCCTCGATACCCTCTCGGGTGATGATCATCAGTTGCAACCCATCACCAACCTCAATATGTCTCTCCACAGCACTTGTAAAGGCATCCCGCACCAACGCCTTGACGGTCTCCTTGGGCAGAGGCTCGGCCTTCACAGGCTCGAGAGCGTGTCCCTCTCCGCTGCCGGGGACATACTGGTTCTTGAAGTTGACCTGGTTGTCCAAGAAGGGCATGATCAAGCTTGATGCGGCACCTGCCGCACGGCACTGTTCCCGCTCATATGAGCCCACTGGGTCGTAGCTGTACAGAGCACCCACACCCTCCTCATCCAGACCGGCCAGAATTGCGTGCACGTAGTAAGGGAAGAATCGCTTCTCGTAGAGGATGGTTGACAGTCGCTGCGCACATGCGCTGACTGACATGGGTTTGCCGTGCTGGTATTTGTACATCTTCACCACGGTATCCAACTTTTCCTTGAGGGCGTTTCCATCTGCGGCGAAACCGACCACCGACAGGAGGATTTGAGCTCCGTCACCGGTTTCGTCGTCTCCGCCAATCTTGAAGACCTTGGGGACCATGCGAGAGTTGATATTGTAGCCTGATGTGGACCGAGTGTCACCGGCGAGGATGGCGAAATCAGAGCCGGTGATTCCGAGCGTGGAGCCACCATTGTCGGTGTAACTGAAGCCAAGTGTTAGCTCATCATATCCGATCTTCCCCAGGCCAGTACGTACGGGTAGAAGGAGTGTTGTTTGACGTTAGCGGATGTTGGCTCGGAGAAGGAGTATCCAATGTTTTCGGACTGGCCGATGAGGGAGGTCATATTGGCGGAAAATGAAACTTATTTGAGATCAAGAAGAGAGACAATGAAATGAGAGGTTGGAGATAATCGTAGACTGGAGTTGGAGATGAGCAGAGTAGCTTGGGTGACGCGCGAGATAGCTGCCTCTCTGATTAGGTAAGATTTTGGGCTGAGCTCTGGAGCTCGAAGTATACAAAGTATAGACTGGTCTGTTAATATGGAATACTTCATTCTTCTACCAATCTATAACTAGAGAAATACCGATTGTCATGAGATGGCGATTGTGCCCAACTCATGTCTCTCGTTGCTTTAACTTTGAGGTCGTATTCGCTTCTCAATGACGATCCCACTTCTCTACTTGGGTCAAGGCCTCTCTTTGCTGTTCATACACTGCCCTCACCAGGGTCCATAGTATATTCCCTCAGTATTTGAGCTATGCATTCACCGACTTCCAGTCATACTGGATCAACGGCATCCGCACCACCGGTGGGCCACAGCGGCCTTTCGCGGGTGTTCCAAATCACCAAGGGCCCGATGGAGCGTCACTACAAGATCAATTCACTGAACGATCAACCTCTATTCTATGGCGATATCTCATTGTTCACTCCCAACAAACCCGACCTGACGCTTCATGTGGGCAGTAGCACCCAGGGCCCAGTCGTGGCAGTCTCCAACTTTCTCAAGTTGTCGGGGAACTACAAGATTGGGGTTGGAAATCCGGATGACATGAGCAACGTCCAATGGGAGGATATGACCACAGAGCTCCTCCACAAGCCAAAATATCGGCTGGAGACAACGGTTCCTTGCGGCTCGGATCAATCCCACAGTGAACGGCGGTCACTGGTATGGAAGCGCACCCGCAGTGTGGGGGTGGACGGCGAAACACCATCCAGACTGACCGTTCGAAACTATAAGCTAGTGGATGAACGCAGCGAGCAGGTCCTGGCCGTCTTCTCTGGGGGAAGGAGACCAGGCAGAGGAGGAAAAATCGAGATCAGAGTGGAATACGGGCAAGACTTTGATCATTTGGTTTTGATATCCTGTTTGAGTCTGTATGAGAAAGCGAGGCGGCGCAGTCATAGGGGGGCTGCCGGCGGAGGTGGAGGCAGTTGACAAGAGCATCGTTGCTTCGGAATTCGACCCCCGTGAATAGGAATGTACTCATACTCCGGCCGAAGGACTTGGTGGTTGAATCTTCTCAGTCAACCTGCTTCCTCATTCACTGAGAAGCAACATTCATGTCGTCATTCTATCAGACATTAGATGGCCAAACTGAGACACCCTCGCTATGAGCAATCATAGAAATGAGTTCAAGCCAGCCCGCGTACAGCGAATTGAAGGAGTCGATTTGATCGGCTTATTGGCCAAATCTCAGGCAGAGCCAGAAACGAAATCGACCGAAGTCCGCTGACCGGATGCTCTCTTCTCCTCTGTTTTCCGCCGCATGTCATGCTGGGTTCTCAACAGCTCACCCTTGAATCCCCATGGGGGCAGGGTGGAAATAGTCCATACATCGGCTGGTAGTGAGGTGTCATACTGAGCCTGCTCGTTGATGCCAGCATGCATCATCATATTGGCTAGTAGGCTTGGGTTCTTCAGTGACGTAGAGCTGGCAAGTTTAGAGTTGAAGTGGACGCCTTGCTTCTTGAGCGAGAGGAAGTGTTCAAATTTCGCGGTGAGAGCTGGATTTGGAGATCCAGGAGGGGATGGTGGGATTTCGAGATTTGGAACCGGAGGCAGTGTCAGGTCTTGGACGAGTGCCCGGGAAGCCGAGAAAGGTGATGTGCGTCCACTTGATGTGTTCTGGTCCTCTGGGAGAGGAGCCATGCTGATAGATGCGGGGCCAAGTACCGGTCCCGCTGGCGCCGCATCAGTGACCATGGGCACTGTTTCATCTGACTTTGTAGTTGGTACCGGAGCTGCAGAGGGTATGAGTGCTGGATTCATTGGCATATGGGTCTGAAGATCTCAAGATATCTTACCTTGACTCTGGTTACTTGGCGCGGGTGGAGCAGGGAGTTCCTGGTCACGAGTCTGAAGTGGCATTAATATGTATTCAAGGCGTCTAGGTAGGAGATTGATGTACCTGAGAAGGTGAAGGGGCCTTCTGCTCCTCGTCGTCGCTGCTGGCGTATTCAACCAGGCCGAGCATGATGGCGGCTTTGGAGTAGAATTGCCAATGACTTCAGTTCAACAAAAGTGATTTGGTTCCAACGACCGCAAGGACTTTCTTTCCAGAGACCTTTTGCCCCAGTACGCAAAGTGTCGCGAATGTGAACGGAAGTCCACTCAATACTCCGGAGAGTGGCAGTTGTTTTCTTAGTAAGCGAAGCTCTCCGCCCGAGCTGACGGGAGCTCTCGACTGCCTAGCTCATCGTCATCGCTGTTATCCATCTGCGTGTTTTCTCTTCTTTGTTCCTTCTTACAATTCAACTACTCTTACTCTACAACACTTCTACTTTGTCATGGATCACTTCCCTGGAACTTGGGGCCGCGTAGGTGGCACAAAATCCCCAAATCTCGCTTCTTTGCTAACCATTCCTCAGCCCAGGAACGATGTCTACGGTGCTTACGATGCCTCATATCTGCAAACCTCGGGCCCTAAAGCCCACACCTCATCTCCCGCTGTGACCGGAACATCAGTGGTGGGTGTCAAATTCAATGGCGGTGTTGCCATTGCTACCGACAACTTGGGTATGATATTCTTTACATCCAATCTTGCCACGGGGTTATCTGACTGATGGTGTTTTTCTCGATATACAGCCTCCTACGGCTCACTAGCTCGTTTCTCGGATGTGAAGCGTCTACGGTCTTTCGGTGACAAGGCAATGGTTGGATTCGGCGGCGACGTTTCCGACATGCAATATCTCGACCGCCTCCTCGAATCCATGGATATCAAGGAGAACTACTCAGCCCACGGAAATATGCTTAATGCCAAAAACCTACACACGTACCTCGCCAAGGTGTTCTACAAGCGGCGCTCCGAGTTCAACCCATTGTGGAACCACGTTCTGGTGGCCGGCTTTGATGGACAGGGAGAACCATTCCTCAGCTCTGCGGATCTGTTGGGTACTACTTTCTCCGCTCCACACTTGGCTACCGGATTTGGTGCTCACCTGGCGGTTCCCATCTTGCGCCGCAAGTTCCCTGAGGAGCTGCCCCTGGAGGAAGTGACACAGGAAGCCGCTGTGGAAGCATTGAAGGAGTGCATGAAGGTTCTGTTCTACCGTGATGCCCGCAGTATCGACAAGTACTCGATAGCCGTGATCACCAAGGATGGCATCGATCTGAAGGAGGATGAGCAGATCCAGGGTCAAAGCTGGGCCTTTGCCGAGCGAATCAAGGGATATGGAGCTCAGGTTGTTTAGATCGGTTACATGAAATGCACACGGAATTATGGATCAGAAGTCGCCAATATATTTGTCTAATTTACCAATTTACGGTGCCGTCACATGTATCTATATGTACAGAGTACTCCGTACAGGGCAATTTGTTCTCAGTATGATTGCCCTTCACAGCTTGGAGCTTGGCTTGTCAAAGACCACCCGGTTGATGCATGATCCTACCCCCTCGAGCGAAACTTCCACTTGGTCACCGTCCTTCAGCCACAATGCGGGCTTGCGGCCCATGCCCACGCCTTGAGGTCTATGTATTCAGGGTTAGTCCATCGTGCTCCTATATTGCTGATGTTAAAACCACTTACGTTCCAGTAAAGATGAGGTCTCCCGGTTGCAATGTCGTGCCCTGGGACAGGAAAGATACCGTCTTGGCCACATGGAAGATCATGTCCTTGGTGGAAGAAGACTGAACTGTCTGGCCATTCAACTTGGTGGAGATCTGCAAGGCATTAGGGTCTTTGATGACACTGGATGACACGATTCCCGGGCCCAAGGGTGCCCATCCATCAAAGCCCTTCCCCAGTCCCCATTGGCCTCCACCCCGCTTGATCTGCCAATCGCGGTGGGAAACATCATTGCCCACCGCATACCCCAGAACGTAGTCTAGGGCCCTCTCTTCAGGGATCTCATTAGCCTCCTTTCCAATGACAATGACCAGCTCACACTCGTAATCCAAGCCCTCGCCCTCCTGGGCAATTCGTGGCACCGGAATATCATCCGTCGGGCCGGAGATCGAGGTGACGGGCTTGTAAAACAACACGGGGTACTTGGGAATGGGGAGGTTGGACTCCTTCGCATGTTGCTCATAGTTCAAGCCCAGACAGCGAACTGTGCCAATATCCTTGCGGGCCAGAGGTGCCAGCAACAGCTTCACCTCTGCGATCTGGTCTGTGACCCGGTGCTGCCCGAAGATCTCTCCTTGAATGACTCTGGCCTTGGTCGCGGTGGCGATATCACTCTTTCCTGCTGGAAGGATGGCATCTCCATAATAGATTTGGCCATCTTTGGCCAGGAATCGGACGAGGTGCTATGGTGTAATCAGCATATGTATAATGTCGATGCGTCATCCAGAGCTCTCTCTCTCTCTCTCTCTCTTTCTCTCTATATAACCATAACCGAGATATCCAGAACTCAACAACTTACAGTGAAAGACATGATGTATATTGTAAAAGGAGGAATCGGCCGAGAGAAGTAGAGTAGAGAAGTAGCAGTACTAACACTGTAACTAGTCAAGTCGGGGAAATGGAGTTCCCCCGGGAAACGTCAGCTCCACCCAATCGCGTCTCTTTTTTCTCATCTCTCTTCAGCCTATGATCCATGATGGCGCGGCTCTCCGGTTTACAGCGGGATGTCTTGTCTCTCTACCGAAAATGCCTGCGGGAAGTCCGCAAGAAGCCCGAGGTGGGTATATAGGCTCCCTTTCCCCCGCGCCCTTGCTAACAGCCCAGGACTCTCGGGTCAATTTCCAAAACTATGCCCGGTAGGTATGATCATTCTATTCCTCTGGATGTCTACTAAGATGGACTCCAGAGCCGAGTTCCAAAAGCATCGGTCGGTGAACAAAAAAGACTTTAGCGCCGTGGAGTATCTCCTGCGCAAAGGTCATCGACAGCTGGAGATGTATGCTTCCCCGGGGATCCGCAACATCCGATGAGATACTGCGGACTATCTTTCTTCGTATCTTGAGATGGAGTCGGAGCTCTCCTATGCCGGTCCCGCCCGAGACGCAAAGGGCATGGCCAGCCGGTGCTGGAGGCTCCAGGCGTGGAATATGTACTGCTCTATGCAGACTGAATTCCAAAAGGAAGAGCTGAGGAAGAGCTGAGGAAGAGCTGAGGAAGAGCTGAGGAAGAGCTAAGAGACTGTACAGATGTACTCAAACCCTGTAACTATAATGTACACTATTGCATTTCACTGCATTTGTCATGTTTCTAAGCGCATCCCAGAAATCGAAGAGAAGAGAAATAAATGATCAAACTGCCCTAGAAGATTCGCTTGACAAATACTCATTATAATATTGGAATATTGGAATATGGATTTGCAAGCATTCGAAGGGCGAAGGGCGAAAGGAGAGAAGATTCCCGTTGTGTCTAGTAGCCGCCACCCGCTTCTGGAGGCTTCCGCAGTGAACTATACACTTACAAACTATACACCTTCAACCGCAACGACAACCACATAAATATCAAGATATTTCCAGCCAAAAGAATAGACATCACTTTCAAAAACACTATTGACTCAGTTCAACATCCAGTCCAACATCCAGTCCAACACTACATTACCTGCTCAACTCTAAAGCTTATACAATGGCCTTCTTCTCCCAATCCGGCTTCTCGCCACTCTTCCATCTCCTCAATGACTACCAAGCACAACCGGAATACACCTTCCAAAAAGAGTGCAAACCAGTCCAATGCCCCCAGCCACAGACAACCCGCTCCTTCGCACCCGCCTTTGACGTGCGCGAGCTCGACGAGGGTTACTACCTCGATGGCGAACTCCCCGGCGTCGACCAAAACAACATTGACATCCAATTCAGCGATCCCCACACGCTAGTCATTACAGGTCACACTGACCCCATTTCCGGCATCCCCACGGTACCCAGCCGCAGTCCATCGCCAGCAAGCTCGACCGGCTGGCACCAAGCCACCGTCGAGGATGAAGAGGATGCACAGTCGACCAGCTCTGCTAGCTCAGCCAGCACTGATACCGCTTCAGAACCGGCAGAGAAGTCCGAGCCCTACTTCTGGGCCAAGGAGCGCTCGATCGGTGACTTCCAACGCACCTTCAGCTTTACGGCTCGTGTGGATCAGGACTCTGTTCGGGCGAGCTTGAAGAATGGTGTGCTTTCGGTCTTTGTGCCCAAGGAGGCTGCTCCTCTGCCGAAGAAGATTCGCATCCAGTGAATTTGATAATTATTGTTTACTTGATTTACGCCTAATATGTGATTTACGCCGAATATGTACGAGTATGAAATGTGATTAACTTAAGAATTATTTATTAAAGACAACTCTTCGGAACTCGTAGGCATATTTAAGTATTGTAGTGGGTTGGAAGCCCTGGAGCCTCCAGACCTATGTTACTTAGATACAACCAGCCTATACTTACCTCGGTAGTAAGGGAGTAGGTGAAGTACTACTTGAGAAACGAGGATATATACCAGGACTACCCGTGAACGGCAGGTTATTTGGAACATAAAGACAGAACCTCATATGCCAGAATATTTAATCCATACTATATAACCACCAATGTCAATATAACCAGGCCACGATCGGGCATCGGTGTCATATGATCCGAGTGTCGATATAACAGTCCCCTTGTTTAAGACTAAAAAATCATTGGCTGGGATATTGGTAAACTCATGTACTGAACTACATTGAAAGTCATTAAAATGTTGATGTAAAGTTCAATGTTTAGCACGCAGAATAGGGACAGCTTCACTGAATTAGGAAATAAAATGTCAAGGGCCAAGCACCAATGAGATGAGATAGTATACAGTTTGACTCGACGCTAAAATTACACAGATGATATCTTTATAGCTGCGCCAGTAGGCCCTGGACAGCCGTGCGCAGCTCCTCCAACGACACATCCTCCTTGACGCCAAGTTGGCGGCACTGCACTTCCAAAGTCTGATTCTTCTTCCATCCGTGACCGACAACTACAATGACTGGGTATCCAATCATGTCTGCGTCGCCCAGTTTCCAGCCCATGCCTTTGTCCCGATCATCGAGAATCACATCGGCCGTGGTATTGAGATTATCGTACACCTGATCAGCCACAGTCTCCAGTCCCTTTCCAGGAACAACCACAACTTCATAAGGGGCCATCGCCCGAGGCCAATTCAAGCCCTTGGAATCGGCGAGTCGGTTCGCCACGGCAGAAATCATACGCGAGACACCAATACCATGACAGCCCATCTGCATTGGCACAATCTGTTCCTGAGTCGATGGCTTGGCCTGAGAATCAGATGGTCCCTCCAGAAGCGACGATTTAACCGAGACCGAAGCATTGAGCACCTCACTGTAACGCGTCCCAAGGTAGAATGTGTGTCCCAGCTCGACAGCAGGATGGCTCGTCAAGGACCCCTGTGCACAGTGGGAGCATTGATCCCCATCGTGGACGCGAACAAGACTGAGTTTGTTCGAAGTTCCAGGGAACAAGTCTAGCTTCGAGTAGTCAATGTCTGAGGCTGCACAGTTAATCTTTTCGAGGAGGTCACTGAGTGGTGGGCGTTGGTATACTCGGACCTGAGAGTCGTACAGGTCTAACACACGAGGTCTCTGCGTCGAGGACTTGTTTTCCGTAACATGTTTAGTCCATCGCTCGAGTGGCTTTTCCACACTCAGATCGAGGCCAATGCCCGCCGCAGTGGCGATGGCCTTGATTGCATGTGAGTTGACATGACGCTCAACAGGCTCCGAGGCATCACTCCGCATCGAGAACTTGGGGTACCAGCCCCGCACAATAGTGTTACCGTCATGTGAGACAGCCATCCACATGCCGGTTGAAATCGTGGGGCCCCCTTCGACAGCCACATGGTCTGTATTGAAGCTGGGCGATGTGGATGATGGGGACTCATCACAGATATGCGTCTTGCCGTCGGCCAGTTCTTCGTTGTAGACATGGTCACAGTGTGAGCAGTTAACCACGTTGTCCTCGCCCTTGGGACTGATAAAGTGATATTCGTGACTCAACGAGCCACCCATGTTTCCTGAATCTGCTGCCGCGACTAGGTACGGGATCTTCAATTCATCGAACAGCCCCGTGTAGGCTACTTTGACCGCCTTGTAGGTCTTAAGCGCTTCCTCTGCACTGTAGTCGAATGTGTAGAGGTCTTTCATAATGAACTCTCGACCACGCAGTAGACCCTGTCTTGGCCGGGCCTCATCTCTGTACTTGCGTGCTGGTGACGTCTTGTTAGTTACTGTATCGGGTGAGAATATACGCAAGGCTCACAGATTTGATAGACCCGCAGAGGCAAACTTTTGTATGACGTTGTCAGATTGCCCACTAGGGTAGTGATTTCCTCCTCGTGGGTCGGTGCCAGGAGGAATGGAGTCTCTTTTCTGTCCTTGAAGCGGAATAACTAAACAGACTGCGTGAGTAACGGAGTTCCAAACACAGGAGGCGTCAGCCTACCTCGGAACCTTCACCGAGTCTACCAGACTGTTCCCAAAGTTCTTGCGAAGACAAAGAGGACAATGATACTTTAGAGGCACCTGGCATGGTTGAGGTAAGCAGTGGAATCAAACTCGGTAGAAAGGCACCCACCTAGCGAGCCCATATGCTTGTCAATGAGACGTTCTAGCTTATCTTGAACACGCAGCCCAAGGGGAAGTAAATGAAATACACCCGAATATGCCTGCAAGGCTATTAGCTGTGTCTTCACATGTTGAGATCCATCCTTACCTGACGAAGAAAGCCACCTCGGACTAGCAAATCATTGGCATCTTCTAGTCTGGTGTTAGTTTTTGAGACCAAATTCAATGATCGAAGAGCGTACCCTTCTCCCCATCAATTGGTTTCTTGGAGATTCCTCCTGTAGGGATCCAGAAGTTGGACACACGGCTTCGGCCATCAATCTAGATCATGTTAGTGTTTGCGAGTTCATGAGATCTTAAAGACGCGCACATGGAGATTGCGTAGGACCTGAAGACCCAATGCCCTCGGAGGCAAACGCCCCAGAGTAGGCCGTAGTCTTGAGATCATTGGAAAATACCAATTGCACTCAGTGTACGGAGTGTAGAAAGAGAAGAGAGAGTCAGGGAAAAGACGTGGAGTCCATGTTTCTTATCGGGCTGGTCCGAGCGCCCCGATAACCGCAAAAGATTTCTCCATCCAATTTTCTTTCCCTCCACTCCACTCCCCCAAACATATACACCATGGCTAAAGGGAAAGGAAATCGCTCGGATGCCGAGACATCTGGAGCAGCGGTCGCAGCTCCTGCTGCCGACACCTTGATGCCCGACGAAAGTGCCTTCGCCGGTCTGCGACAGAAAATCGAACAGCGGTTGAAGAACCAGAACCAGAATTCCGGCAAGGGAAAGAAGGACAACAAGTCCTCTGCGCCGGCGAAAGACGCCCCCGGCAAAAAAGGAAAGCAATCGCCCGCCAAACCCAGCCGACCCCAAGACTCGGCTCATGGCAAGAAGCGGGATCGCAGCGGCGAGGTGATTGCCCGGGACGAGAAGAAGAGCGGAAAGGATAAGCAAGAAAAGCCCAAGGGATCAAAGAAGAGCAATGGCGACGATGTATTGCGCCAGGAGATCCTTGCTATGGGAGGCACAGAGGAGGATCTGGATCTTCTTGCCGGTGTCGATTCGGAATCCGAGGTTGAGGGCGAGGTAGCCCAGGGCGACGATGATCTCCGGAAGCAGCTTGCCAGCATGCTCGATGCGGCTGGCCACGTTGTGCCCGAAGATCTCGCAGATGACGAAGTGGAAGACCTCGAAGAGGAGCCGGAAGAGAGTGAAGATGAGGTGGATGGAGAGGACAGCGAGGATAATGCAGAGAGCAGTGGCCCAGAATCGGACATTGAAGACGCACCTGCCCCCAAGTCCGAGCTTTCAGTGCCTAAGGAGTTTCAAAAACTGGTAAGTTATGGCCTGCTCTGCTACAAGATGCTGTTACTAATTCGATCTCTGACAGAAAGTACTCCCTCGTTCTGATTGGTATAATATCCCCATGCCTTCCGTCGGCAACACGAAACAAATGAATGCGCTGCCTCGCCACCTGATTGAAAAGGTTCATGAGCTGGCCAACAACCTACTGCAGGAAGAAAACGAGGACTATGCGGTGGCTCAAAGAACATCCGCTTCCTCATCCCACAAGTTCTACTCGACAATCATGACCTCCGGTACCTTGAGTGATAAGATCTCAGCTTTGACTTTGAACGTTCAAGAATCACCCCTTCACAACACCAAGGCACTGGAAACCTTGATTGGCCTCGGAAAGAAGCGCAGTCGTGCGCAAGCCGTTGAGGTTCTGCGATCTTTAAAGGATATGTTTGCCCAGGGTACTCTTCTTCCGAACGATCGACGACTCAGAGCCTTTGCCAACCAGCCTGGGCTCGTTGCGGCATTCCAAGGTGCTGGTGGCCGATGGAACGAGAAGGACCCCCTTCCCGGTGGCCTGCAGAAGAGCCAGCTGATTGTTTGGGCCTTCGAAAACATTGTCAAGGACCAGTTCTTTGAGGTTTTGAAGATTTTGGAGATTTGGTGCAATGACGAAATCGAATTCTCCCGGTCTCGAGCCGTCAGTTATGTCTACGAACTTCTCAAGGAGAAGCCTGAGCAAGAGACCAATCTTCTGCGACTCTTGGTCAACAAGCTCGGTGACCCCGGCAAGAAGATTGCATCTCGAGCATCCTACCTACTTCTGCAGCTAATGCAGTCGCACCCTATGATGAAGCCCATTATCATCAAGTCAGTGGAAGAGGTGTTGTTCCGACCTGGCCAGAGTTCGCACACCAAGTACTACGCCATCATTACTCTGAACCAGACCATTCTGAGACAGAAGGAAGAGAAGGTGGCTTCTCAGTTGCTGGATATCTACTTTGGAATGTTCCTCGTCCTTCTGAAGCCCTCTACCGGCAAGCCAGCACCTCCACCCAAACGCGGCAAGCCTGGCAAGGGTCACAAGGGCAAGGGTGACGACGAGTCAAAGGGCCAAGCCCAGGAGGAGGAATTGCGAGAGAAGTTGATCTCTGGAGTTTTGACCGGTGTCAACCGTGCTTATCCCTTCACTGACTCCGACTCCGATCGGTACGTCCCCTTTCGTTTTAATTGATTATGGTCAGATACTAACTTTTCAACAGCATGTCAAAGCACCTTGACACTCTCTTCCGTATCACTCACTCGTCAAACTTCAACACCAGTATTCAAGCTCTGATGCTCATTCAACAACTCACAGTGGCCAACAAGGTCTCTGGTGATCGTTTCTACCGCACTCTGTATGAATCTCTGCTCGATCCTCGGGTTGCCACTTCATCCAAGCAATCTCTCTACCTCAACCTTCTCTACAAATCTTTGAAGAACGATCTCAATGTCCGACGAGTCAAGGCGTTTGTCAAGCGTCTTGTGCAGGTCCTGGGCATGCACCAGCCCTCGTTCATTTGTGGTATCTTCTACATGATTCGCGAGCTTGAGAAGACTTTTACAGGCCTGACAGCTCTGGTCGATCAACCAGAGGAACTCGATGATGACGAGGAGGAGATCTTCCGCGATGTTCCTGACGAGGATGACGAGCCCGAGGAGGCACCGGTTATTGATACCAAGCCTAAGCAGAACAACGCATACGACCCTCGCAAGCGAGACCCTGAGCACAGCAACGCTGATAGAAGCTGTCTTTGGGAATTGCTTCCCTTCACCAACCACTTCCATCCTTCCGTTTCTCTTAATGCCACCAACCTGCTCGAGCAAAAGCCCATGAGCGGCAAGCCGGACCTGACATTGCACACTCTCACTCACTTCCTCGATCGCTTCGTCTACCGCACGCCCAAGGCCAGTGCAGGTGCCCGTGGTGCTTCTATCATGCAGCCTCTCGCTGGTGGAGACACTGTCGACCGATTGGTGGAGGCTGGTAAGAAGACTCAGAACCAGCTACCACTGAACACCGACGCCTTCTGGAAGAAGAAGGCCGAGGACGTTGCAGCTGAGGATGTCTTCTTCCACGAGTACTTCACCCGCGTCAACAAGGACAAGGAGAAGTCCCGCGTCAAGAAGGGCAAGGCGACTGATGCCGAGGACCGTGACGACGAGGGTCTCAGTGAGAACGAGGATGAGATTTGGAAGGCACTCGTCGATTCCCGCCCTGAGCTGGAAGCCGACGACAGTGACGACGATCTGGACATGTCCGACTTGGAATCTGCGTTTGACGATGAGGAGGGCGAAGGCGAGGGCGATGATGAGTCCGACGGCGGTGTCATCTTCAACGACGAGTCCGACGTTGCTTCCGACGAAGAGATGGCCGACTTCAGCGAGCCCGAAGAGGCCCCCGCCCCGACGAAGAAGGCTGCCAAGAAATCCTCCAAGGAAGACGAAGAAGATTCCGATGACTTTGACATGGATGTCTCCGATGATGAGGCCTTCTACGACAGCGACGAGGATCTTCCCTCGGACATTGAGCTTGGTGGTGCGGCACTCGCAGAACCCGAGGCCCCTGTTCCGGAAGAGTCCAACAGCAAGAAACGTCGCAAGCTCAAGCAGCTGCCTACTTTCGCCTCTGCAGACGATTATGCGGCGCTTCTGGCGGACGACGACGACGGCATGTAACCTGTATATCGACCTGGATAAGTCTAATTCTGACAGCCTTGGGCCCAAAAAATTTGATCTCGCATTGGGAGTTGTGGGTTGCACATATCTCTTTCAATTTTTATTTATTATTTCTGTAACTATTCCATTTCACCTATACCAATTGTCTTTCGTACCTATTTCTTTTGCCACTGCGCAAAACAAGCAACAGAATACCCCTGCACTGGGAGCTGCATGGTACTTTTACACTCTCGGGGCCAAATTGGAACCCTGTCGGCTCCCGGCAAAGGAGGCAAAGAACAGCATCACGCCATTCAGATCTAAATAAGCTTCTTTCGGTCAGCTCCGTGTGGCTGAGGTGGAGTTTGATGCCATCGCTGCGGATTAGCACGCAAGAGGCTAGACCTTTTAGAGCTATCTTGACTCGCACTTGTTTACAAGGAGTACGAGTCGTACTAAGGGGTTAGCACTCTACGAGTAATTGAGAGTGTAAGCACTAGAATCCTTCGAAGTCTAGCTGAGCTCTCAGAGGACTTGTAGGGCTTCCAGGAGCATGTGCAGTTGTGCAGTTGTGCATTTTAATGAAATTGCTTACATCAGCGTTTCACTTCTGGCTCTTCTGGTTCTCCGTATTCTCACCACTCACCACTCTCTACAGCCTTATCCATGCTGACCATACGAGTACTCGCACAGAGTACTCGTACATACAGACCATACGAATATGAGTACTCGTCCGCATGCGGGGCCGTGATCCACCGACGTCTCCATCACCGTCCGAGATACATATGATGGGCGCAACCGACATTGTCCAGTGGGGGCGGCGGGTCTCCTCGTGCGCCCCCTTGCTGACGAGCAACGCGGGAATCGCAGTTTGCAGCAGTCAAGGGCCGATCCCTGACTATCTGGGCTTAGTTAATATCGCAGACTGGATCCAGCTTCCATTCGTGGAGAGGTCTGTTCGCCTGTCCGTTCGCTGGGCAGAAACTCTTGAACGTCCCTTGGCGCTGCTTGACTTTCCATGGCTGAACGCCCATTGCGGTAGTGGTCCATCACGTCACAAATCAACTTGCGATCGACAGGTTTTTTTGCTCTTTTCTTTTTCCGGTTCGACCTGGAGTTCTCGGACTGCTCCATACCGCAATCTACAATGCCTGTAGTGCTGATGGCCTGTGGCCTGTTTTCTCTTTTTCCTTCGTTTCTTTTTCCCTTTTTCTCTCTCAACCTTGATCCTTTCGATCAAAGTTCAGAGTTCTTTTTTTGGATTTAAATCAGTCTTCTCCTCCCGTCCAGGTTCACAATTGCGGTTTCGTTCAAGGAATACCACCTCGTACCCGCATTTGCCCTAATCCGTCTATTTCCTGGTCTCTCGACATTGGAACTTTTGGTCTTTTTTTTTTTTGGACTAAAAAAAAAATCAGATCTTGAAGGTGAATGATCGGCGCATCTGTCAACAAAAAAAAAGATCACTGCGCTCACTCTGTACCCCAGATTATCTAGACCATTACATGCATTTGCAGATCTGAACATCTCTTCTCAACTCCACAGAGTTACCTCCGCGGGATTCCTCCGCTCTCTCACATCATGGCTGGGTTAAATGATTCAACAAAGCCCGTCAGTTGGGACCACGACCGGCACACCGACACATCCCCAGACCTATCAGACAAATCCGATCAAGAGCAGAAGCCCAAGGACTTTGATGTGGAGGGTCAAGGCCGCCGCGGCTCTCAACATCATGTTACTGCCATCGATGGCTCGTCAACAACGGAGAGCGTGGGGCGTCAGATCGACATGGAACAAGAGAACACAATCAAGTATCGTACTTGCAGTTGGCAGAAGGTGTGCATAGACTCACTTCGCAAGAGAAAGGCCGATTGGAGCTAACCACTTGGTACAGACCGCCGCATTGCTCTTCTCCGAGTACATTTGCCTGGCAATCATGTCCTTCCCTTGGTCTTATTCCATCCTGGGCCTGGTTCCTGGTTTGATCCTAACTGTAGTCATCGCCGGTATCGTCCTGTATACTTCGTTGATCACCTGGTATGTTTATATCTTGTCATTCTGCTATTACTGCACTGTCGTTCCGGGTACTAATATTGAAACAGGAGATTCTGTCTGCGACATCCAGAAGTCCGCGATGTTTGCGATATCGGCCAATACCTGTTCTGGGACTCCAAGATTGCCTGGTGGGCCACGGCAGTCATGTTCCTTCTAAACAACACATTCATCCAGGGCCTGCACTGTGTGGTTGGTGCGGAATATCTGAACACGATGTCTAATGGAGCAATTTGCACAGTTGCCTTCTCAGCCATTGTCGCCATCATCTCGTTCTTCTTTTCGTTGCCGCGTACTTTCAGCACCTTGTCCAAAGTTGCCACCCTATCCGCATTCTTCACCTTCGTTTCTGTCATATTGGCATGCGTCTTCGCTGGAATCGAAGATCATCCAAAGGGGTACACCCCGGCCAAGGGAAACCCAATCGTGCTCGCTATTCCAGCCAAGGGCACAACCTTTGTACAGGGCATGAACGCCTTCTTGAACATCAGCTACACGTTCATCGGCCAAATCACCCTTCCCAGCTTCATCGCCGAGATGAAAGAGCCCCGTGACTTTTGGAAGTCTGTGACTGCTGTGACAGTTGCCGAGATCATTGTCTTCAGTCTGGTCGGTGCGGTCACTTATGTCTATGTCGGAAATCAGTACATGATTGCTCCGGCATTCGGTTCCATTGGAGATGACTTGTATAAGAAGGTTTCCTTCTCGTTCATGATCCCAACCATCATCTTCTTAGGTGTGCTATATGCATCGGTCTCGGCCCGATTCATCTTCTTCCGTCTGTTTGAAGGTACCCGCCACAAGGGCAACAACACTGTGGTGGGTTGGGCCTCCTGGGCTGCAATCCTTGCCGCTCTTTGGGTTTCCGCTTGGATTATTGCCGAGGTGATTCCTTTCTTCTCTGATCTGTTGTCCATCATGAGCTCCCTGTTCGACTCCTTCTTCGGCTTCATCTTCTGGGGTACAGCTTATATCCGCATGCGGTCCGATGACTATGGACCTCAGTTCTACAAGACCCGCGGTATCCGTGGATGGCTGGGATTCATCTTCAATGTCTTTTTGATTCTTGTTGGTTTCTTTTTCTTGGGACCCGGCACATACGTAAGTCACCTTTTACACTCCCGGGGTGCCATATCAAAGCCTCAAAATGTCCGGTTTCAACTTGCTAATCCTTCCTAGGCTTCTGTTATGTCTGTGGTCACCAGCTACCGTGCCGGCACTGTCGGTGGTGTGTTCACTTGTGCCAGCAATGGCCTATAAATTCCCGCGGGGCGGGGACTTCATCTGTTTTGCATGTTTCCGATTGCCTGAGGCTCTAGGCCTTGGGGACTTCATGACTGTAATGACCGAGTTTCTTTCAGCTCATAGGCACTTATCATTTGTACCGTACAGATATCCCATCTTTTCCCACTACTGGTTTACTATCTTTCAACACTGAAATGAATATAGAAATCTTTTGGTAAACTCATGAAAATCGGATATATACAGTAAAATCATCACGCTAGTCTTTCAAACTCCGTATCTTATAGACCCCGTAGGTACTCTACTGAGGACGGTGGAATTTGCTCTCAACCCAAGGCATACCACCAACGGTAGCCTTTCGGACCTTATTGCGAACCATGACACCAAGCTCGGTTCCCTTCTTGTGAAGACCTTGCTTGACATACGCCATGGCAATGTTAGTTCCACCAAGAGATGGGCTAGGCAGACCAGAAGTCACAACGCCAACCTCAACAATATTAGCAGGGTCCGAGACATCGACGACAATAGCACCCTCGCGAGCAGGGGGTCCCTTCTCAACGGTCAAACCCACCCGGCGCTGGGGAATAGTCTTGGGGCTAGCGATCTGGGACAGAATGGTAGAAGCACCATTGAACGTAGCGGTGGCTGCATCACGGCGATCCCGACCAACAACCCAGCCGAGGGCAGCAGCGGGGGGAGTCTGGGCTGTGGAGATGTCATGGCCATAGAGACACATGCCAGCCTCGAGGCGGAGAGAGTCACGGGCAGCCAGACCAGCAAGACGGCTCTTGCTGCTATCTGCCAGGAGGAGTTCTGTGACTTGGTTTGGCAGGTTTGGGGCACCGGAGGTTGGGATGGAGATTTCGAAACCGTCTTCGCCGGTGTATCCTGTGCGGGATATGAGGAGGGGGTGGGGGGTTGCGGAGCCGTCAGGGAGGGTGAGGTATAGTTCGCGACAGTTGCCGAAGTAGAGGGTGCTGAGGTCTGTTTCGGAGGAGGGGGTGTTTGCGGTGTTGATGAGGGGTTGGAGCACTGAGGCAGCGAGGGGACCTTGCAGTGCGACAAGAGCACGGTCAGAGAGAATGTCCCACTTGATGCTGTCTGTGCCATTCTTGGATCGGTAGGCTTCAATCTCGGCAGTGAGGAAAGCCAGGTCCTCTGTGCGGCGGCCGGCGTTGGTCACGAAGTAGAAGGTATCTTCGGTGCGGCGGGTGATCACGCAGTCGTCGACCATACCTCCGGTACCTTCTTCCAACAAGCAAGAGAGGGTAGAGGTGTTTGGGGCAAGCTTATCCACCGAGGAGGGTGTAATCTTCTTGAGCAAATCCGCGGCTCCAGGACCGCTGAGGTGGTGCTGAACCCTACAACTCTATTAGCTATGTCCGGATATAGGAAATCACTGGACTTACATATGGCTGACATCAAAGAGACTGGCCTTCTCACGCGTCCACATGTGGCTCTCGACATGGCTCATGTCGGCATAGACCAGCGGCATATCAAAGCCCGCGAAAGGGACCATCTTGGCCCCACGCTCCACATGCAGGTTGTACAGCTGTGTTTGGCTCAGAGGCTCGGTGGATGTGGTGGACGCATAGCGCACCGCCTGCGGTGCGGACTGCGAAGCTGGAACTGCCAATGGCGCATTGGACCTCAATGCCCGCGAGGTAGTCGGCACGATGGCCGCGGAGGAGAGCTCTCGCCGAAGCAGAGTGGAGCCGATAGAGGCGCGGGGAGTATGGAGGGTTGCGACCCTCGCGGCAGCAAGGTCAACACCTCGTGAGAGAATTCGGACGCTAGACATGGTATCAATGAACAATTAGGTTGACAGAAAGAAGAGAAGAGAGAAAAACAGAGAGAAACTGGAGCATAAGAGGTCCCCAGAGTCCGTCGGAGAAGGCATGGCGGGAAAGTCACGTGTTGATAGGCGATCGGAGAGCGGGAATCTCTCCGTTGACTGTAGATCTATACGGAGTACTAAATCATCATTAGAGATATTGAGCGGAGTATAAAGGTCAATTGCAGATTTGTTCGGTAAATATAACATAACTGTGAAAGTATAGAAGCTACGGAGTACTTGTATGTGATCTAAGTGAAATTGATAGAGGGCCGCTGTACACTTCCGAAATGAAGCCCTAAGGCGGGGAAGAGAAGACCCGGCAACGGAAGAGAAACATCTATAGCTACGGAGTACTGAGTGAAGCAATCATTAACCATATTCAGATTGTTGGATCACGGCCAAAGTGTCTGGCGGGTAAAACTAATGACCTAAATGAGCCCTGCGAACATGACTCTCAGAAAAAGCACGCCTCGACGCAATGCTCTCCTCGCTCTTTTCCTGAGCAAGAGAGGGCGGCAAATCCTCGAGTTTTGTGCCCCATTCACCTTCCTCCTTGCCAAGAACAAGAACCAATTCTCGTCCCTCGGTGAAGAAGTCATGACCCACCCAACTCCGAGAGTATGGCTTTCCATCAAGAGTGGCAGACTGGATGAATCCATTCCCACCAGCGGTGGCATCATTGACATTGGCAGTGTTGTATTCCGCCCAGTTGGTCACTTTCAGAGTAGCTGTCTTCCCCGTGATGGGGGAAACGATACTCACGGAGTCAAAGAAGGGCACGGTGAGTAGGTAAACGTCTTGTCCAGGGTTCGGGAACAGGCCCATCATGGCCATGGCAACAAATGATCCCATGGCACCACTGTCGTCGTTCCCGGGAAGACCTGCTGGAGTCGGTGAGAAGTAGTCTGGAATGTAAGTGCGCACTCGAGAGGTGGATTTCCCGGGACGACCTGCGTAGTGGTATTGGAAGACTGTGAGGAAGGCAGGCTCGTTGCCAATGTAGGTGATATTTTGGTCGTGCATGTAATCCAGACGGCGGACAAAGTCGTCTGGGCCACCGAGAAGATTGATCAGGGTTGACATGTCGTGGGGAACGAAACTTGAGATAGGGTTAGCAAAGATTGCACATGATGCTGGCACGGTCTCGAGGCCTTACAATTGATACTCCCAGATGCTAGACTCAAACGTTTCTCCGGCGGTGTTTTGCAGGGAGCACACGCTACCGGTGTAGTCGATGTTGGAACATTTGAGAGGGTCTTGGGACCCCCATGTTTTGTTCAAGTGCTTTGGTTGGAAGAATCCGGTGAATCCAGTGTCCTTGCCTTTGAAGAACGAGGTCTGGTCTTTCTTGAATAGATTTTGCCAGTTCCGGGATCGCTTCTCGTACCGCTGTGCGTCGGATGTCTTGTTGAGGGCCCTGGCCATTTGGGAAATGGCAAAGTCATTGTACGAGTACTCCAGAGTGCGCGAGATACTCCGAGTTATCGTACCAAATCCTTCATAGTCGAAGTCCTCAACAGGGATATAGTTGAGGTCTTTCCAGCTCCGTAGACCACCACGCCCCTCGCTAGACCAATCGTATGGTTCCACTTCGGCGTCCTTTTGAACAGCAGCATATCCCGCATCCCAATCAATACCCCCTCGGATACCCTTTAGGAAAACATCTGCCAGCACATTATCTGCATTAGAGCCACCTTGTGTGAAACCTTTGCAAAGAGACATGCGGCAGTCTGGGAGCCAGCCTAAATGACGCTGCGTATCGATGAGGGAGCGAACCATCTGAATCACAGAGCTCGGATCGAAGATTGTAAGGAATGGGATCTGGGAGCGGAAAGAATCCCACAGGCAGTAGAAGGAGTCAAAGTATGGCTCACTGCTGGACCAGAGCGGATTCTCCCCAGTGTAATTCTGGGGATTGATCATTGTCCGGTAGATTCCACTGTAGAAGTTAGTGAGGACAGAATCGCTGATGTTGGCCCGAGAGACTCGGATTGGCTGCATCTTCTCGGTCCACTGATCGACTGCAGTCTGGTGGGTTGCATTGAAGTCGAAGTTAGGAATTTCAGCCTCGGCGTGAGCACAAGCCTGCTCAGTCCCCATGAAGCTCACACCCACCCGGGCCAGCACGGTGTCAGTCGCTTTCTCAAAGCGAACAAATCCACCACCCTATCACTTTATTAATTTCTGAATATATCACGCCAAAAAGGACTCACTGGAAGAGGGTATCCATTGATGCTTCGGGAGATCTTCAGATCGTGCACTTCAGTACTGGCACGCGAGTTGACGAAAATGCCGCTGTCCCGTCGAGGCGTTGCACTCTGGAAGTCCGCACAGAAGTGCAAGGTATACGTCCCAGATCCAAAGCTAGGAGCAAACCGTGCATCTCCGGACATACGACCTGTCTTTTCATCCACAGAGATGGTCGCATTATCCTGTCGTGAGTTGGACAAATCGGTGAGATCTAGCAAGACCAGTGGGCTGCTGTCTTTTGGGAACTGGAAGCGGAATAGAGACGTGTGATGCGCAGTAGTCATATCAACTTTGACGCCAGAATCCAACTCAATAGCGAAGTATCCTGGATGCGCCTGCACTGAGTCGGGCTTGTACTTGATCTTCCGTTGGTTCTTGGGGTAATGGCAACCATTCACATCATCACCAACGCAGTTCGCATAAGGGAAGAGTGGGAAATTTCCCAACGAAGGACTTCCTCCGGTGCCAGAGTCATGCATGCTTGAAAATCCGACGATATTGCCACCTTCAGAAGTAAACCCTCCTTGGTTGCCCATTGAGTCTGTGTCGGCCACGGCCTTGGCCATACCATAGGGCAGTGAGGCGCCGGGGAAGACATTTCCTGTGGATGTTAATGACTTGCGACTTGAATTCATTACCAATTCGTACCTCCGTTGGCGCTTCCAATCAAGGGGTTGACGTATTGTAGCACATCGTAGGCGTGGGCTACGTGAACCAGCACGCTGACCAGCAGAGTGAGCAGCTTCATGGTCGATGAGATGAAGAAAGAAGAGAAGTGAAGAGAGAAAGTGAAAAAAGGAAGAGGTTTAACCCTACTTCGCGCCTACCTGGTATGTGCTTCCCCATGAATTCTCGGAATGTCGCGTTAAGAGGCCAAGGGATTCAGAACTCGACCATTTTTCTTCTTATTTCCACTGTCTCAGATCTTCAGATCTTCAGATCTCTATTGTAAAAATGCCAAAAGCCATCTAGTTGACCTGTATATGTACAGCTGAGCAAAGCTGGGGAATCAAGTAAAAAACACATGTCCAATCCGCTGTACAAGATTTAAAAGCAAACGTAGATACATAAACTACCACCGCTTACTGCTTAGCGGGAAGGTAGTTCTTGGAGTCAAGGTACTCGATGATTTGCTTGACAGCAGCGTCGAGGGGGAGGTCGACATTCTTGAGGTGAACCTCGGGGTTGGCAGGAGCCTCGTAGGGGGCGGAGATACCGGTGAACTCCTTGATCACACCCTCACGAGCCTTCTTGTACAGACCCTTGGGGTCACGCTGCTCAGCAACCTCCACGGGAACATCGACGTAGACCTCGACGAAGGGAAGGCCGGTCTCCTCACCGGGGGTGGGAACCTCGTGCAATTGACGGGCACTGTCACGGTCCTTCTGGTAAGGGGAGATGAAGGAGGTGATGGCGATGGAGTTGGAGTCGGCGAACAACTTGGAGACCTCACCAATGCGGCGAATGTTCTCGTTGCGGTCTGCCTCGCTGAAGCCCAGGTTCTTGTTCAGGCCGAAGCGAATGTTGTCACCGTCCAGACGGTAGGCGTGGACACCGCGGTCACGGACGAGCTGACGCTCGAGCTCCACGGCGATGGTGGACTTGCCAGAGGCAGAGAGACCGGTCAACCAAATGGTGAGACCCTGCTGCTTGCGCAAGTCGGTGCGCTCGGCACGAGTGAGGCCGCTGGCGTGGAAGGTGATGTTGCTGGAGGGGTTAGCAAAAGAACTCTAAGTACCATAGGGGACGACTCACGTAGCCATTGTGAAAATATAGTATAAGTATAAGTAGAAGAAGAAAAGAAAAAAGAAAGTAGGAGGGGCAACTTAAAACGGGGCCGCGTCAGAGCGATTTCGCTGATCCGCGGGGGTTGCGCCATTCCTTGGCATTGAGTTTTCTTTTGTATAGTTATTGTATATAGTATTTATTAGCATATATACTAATTTATTAGTATTGTTTAGTATATATTGCTCAGTGTATATTGTTCAGTATGAGATAGTAGAGTAAGTAAATATATGTAGAAAGATGTCTATTATGCTCATATGTAAATATGTATATCAATTATGTATTCAGGAACAGGAATCAATTCGCCACCTTGTGCAGATTCGCCAATGCCTAGACAGATTAGTGAGAGTGCCACTTAACCTGCCAATGGACACTTACCGCAGCCTGTTTGGGCTCAATGAACAACGCCTTGGACTCAACCAACACCATAGGGGCGGAGCCATCGGTCGGGAGAGTCTCAATGCGTCCCTCCACCCACGCTTTGCGGCCCTCAACCTTCACAGTCTCCGCGCGGAGGGCAACGTATTGATCCGCCATCGCGGGGGCCCGGTAATCAATATTTAGGTTGGCGGTAACAGCCACCTTATTAGGTAGCGCGGGGAAACAGCAACGAGCCATGCCCTCGTCGAGCAATGTAGCGAGAAGACCACCGTGGACGATGCCGGGGTGCCCACAGACATCGGAGCCAAGATACATGAGAGACACCATGCTCTTGCCATCGCGCTCGCTGAATACATAGGGGGGTACTACGATCTTGCCGGGTCCGGCCAGGGTCCCTGCCGTCAAACTGCGGGCGCGCAGCGTCTCGGGGATCTTGTGGTGGGGGCGCGCTTCCGTGAAGTCCGGGTTGGCGCGCAGGGCCTCGGCCTCCGCGTGGGTGCGGAGGGTCTCGTCGATCTGCGCAGATAAAGAGTCGGGGGCTTGGTATGCGGAGAGAGTCTCCTCGTTGGTCGGGATTGGAGCCGCCATGATGCGGTTGAGGGTGCGGAAACTTTGGAAGGATAGACCGGCGCCGAAGGCAAAGAAGGCGATGGCACTGAACCCGAGGAAGCGGGAAATGAGGCGACGAGGAGGCCGAGGAGGAGCAGATGGGTTTTCTGGGTTTAGTTAGACTTAAGAGGGTCTCGAGAGGGTCTTGAGATGGGCATGTACCTGAAAAGTAGGTTTTGTACTGAGGGCGCTTCGGGGCACCGGAGAATGATCGGTAAAGACGGGATCGGGGCAAAGAAGGAAAGGAAGGTTTCAGACGGAACATGATCGAATAAAAAAAGAAACGGGGCTAAACGAGAGTGAAGAAAGCGTTGAGACAAAAGAGTGGTTGAGGTTGTGTTTTACCTCGGCATATTTGCGACTTGGCAGCGGATGAGTCCGCAAGGCAATCTTCCTTGGAACATTATTCTATATATGAAGTACTCTAAAGGCCTATACAGGTCTGTACAAGTCGTTTGCTGTATACGATGTGCTGGAATAGAGTGCTCATTGCTGTATATGTACCTTTAGTTGAACTCGAATTCATAAAACACGTACGGGGTGTACTCCGCGCTGGCCTCACCAGTGGCATGCATCTCGTTCGGATCATCGCGCTGCATACGACCCTTCTTGTCGCGTCCAAAGGCATTGCCGGCCAAGTACGAAAACTTATTCTCGAGGTTTTGCTTCGCACGGTCTGCCTGCTTGGAGTTGGGGGTCTGCAAAAGCTGAGTTAGTAAAAGTGATGAGAAAGCAATCCGGACAAAACATACCCGGACGAGAGCGCAGACAAAGTCCAACGGCAGTCCATACCGCAGGACAGTCTCGACGAATACCCTCAGTACGAGTATATGGATCCAGACCATGACCGCCTCACTCCAGGCAGTGCGTCCAAGTCGTAATGTCTCGCCCCAGACCTTTCGCTCGTCACCGCCCACACGCTCAACCTCTTTGCGCTCCTCCTCCTTCCCGCCCTCGACATACGTGAAGTCACGCGGGATCCACTTCTGCTCACGGCACTTATGCACAAACTCCACGCTGTGTTTCTTGAATGCAGTCACGGCGTACAGGGTGAACTCGCTATCCGAGGCGACCAGTTGTGCAGATCGGGGAACAACCATGGGGGCGACCGTTTCATATGTCTGCAGGAAGTCTTTGACTAGCTGTGCGGGCACGGCGACCAGGTGGGTTTCAATATATTCGGAGTTCTGGACCACGGATTTCGGATCGATCACAGAAGCGAGGGACTTGGTGGAGAGATTTCCTCTGTAGCGCAAAGTCAGCCAGTTTCTCTCTTGGGTGCCGGATTCACGTACGTTTGCTTGCGCTGGAGTGTAGATAGCGTGTTCTTGACCTGGTTATATTGGTTGTACTTGGTCCGGATATCGCTGTCAATACTGGCAGCTTCCTATAACTTCGTTAGAATCTCCCGAAGTAGACGGGTTCTAACCGAGTCCAGGTGTTGGGACCAACCTTCTGCAGCAGATCAATCAACTCGGCCAAGGACTTGTCAGCTCTGTACTTGACTTTATTCCACTGGAAGGTCCGCAAGTACTGGTCCACGGGCTCTATATTCGACCGTCAGAACCACGTCCAACATTAGAGGTACGATCACGACGTACTATCATTGACGACCTTCATCTGCTCAATTTGCGCCTCGTCGCCTTCGAGGATGTTCTTCAAAGAATCCCCAACCTTTGCCACCACACCCTGGCAGGAGGCCTCGAGCTTGGCGAGCTCGTCTGCTTGCTGAACGAGGGCATCTAGAGTGCCGATCTTGAATTCGGGGATTGGGAATGATGCTGCGGTGTCCGGAGCGACGGTGGAGGAAACGGCCTCGAGCGCATCGTCCCGGTGGTGGGAGGGGACGATGGAGGTAGGGAGAGAGAGGAGAAGGTACTTGCTGGGTTTCGACATGGCTATGGAGGAGATCTGGACTGAGGGGAGGCGTTGGTTCTCGGGGGTGTCGTAGGCGGTGGGTGCTTGGACCACCTTGCACTTCTACTAAGTATACCTCTTCCCCTTCGTCTTTATATCTTCCTTGTTTTGATTCTATTGTATATTGTATCTGTCTTCCCAGGCATCTTTCGAGCGGTCTTTCTATCTTTATTTTATTTTTCTAATGAATGTGTTATTGACAAGGCATAGTAACGCTTTCCCACGCATCTTCATCGCGACACGACCCAGGCTGGAATCGCTGATACCGTAGCTGGACCTCGAAACTGTCCAGAAGAGGACCTATGGAGACACACTCGACACGAGCAGCTGCTGGGATAGGAGCTCCCTGCGCGATGTCGTCGCTCTCGATTTGAATCAACCTCTCAATGGAAGTGGTCACAGCAGAAACCCATGGGCTATGGTGATTGCACCCCCTCAGCAAAGCTAGAATATCATCCCGGGTCTTCCAGTCACGGCACTTCACCCCACACCAAAGGAGGGCAGCCACGACGGACGGCTTGATATAACAGACGGGCGCTGGTACTTCACTTACGTCTGGGCGTAGTAGTTCTCTCGCCAGCAAGATGGCTCGTTGAAAATATGTCAGATAGTCATCATAAAGAGCCTCGCTTGGTTCCTGGCTATCTGCCACAGACATCTTCACATTGATGATCAAGGTCCACAGCTCGAGCACGGCAAGCATATCCCGATGGCGCTGAGAATGGAGTCCGTTGGACTCGAAGAACTTCAGTTGGCTGCGCCAAAGTCGCAACTTGCTCAGGACTGCTATTCCCCCGCGGTTGAGGGGAGAGCTCGCGCGTGATATGCTGAAGCCCCCTCCAGGGTGGCTTTGCACGATCTGCCGTCCAATGACCAGTAATCCTCGACTCTCCCGGACGAGGTCTGCATCATGAGTGGCAGCCTTGTCGCTTTGGGGAGGCCGCGGCGGCAGCAAACGATGATTGTTGAGGAATTCCCTTGGGTTTACGCAGGTTGAATAGTGGATCTGGACCTGCGAAAACGCTTGCTCTATAATATCCTTATGAGGGCTTGGCTTAGTGTCAATTGCCGCCCATTCCTTGAACAGGTTGTAACCAGATCGCAAATGGCATCGGGCCGTGAACAAATCCTGTTGGAACAGCGCAAGCATGGTAAGAATGATACAGCTAACCAGGACGGTCTCTTTGTGCGCACGGTTAGAGTCATGGCGAACAAGATCTGCACCCAGACAGGTGATGGACTTGTGTGAATGGCTCAGGGCCAAGACGCTTTCTCGATCTTCCACCTGTTTCGTTTGCACCTCTTCGAACTGGCACTGTCTCGCACTCATCGCGATAGCGGCATGTTGCACCGCGGGCTGTCCCTCACACATCTGGAGGACCAGACGACCCCAGAATGCATCTTGGAAATACTCCGCACATTGGACCGTGGTGCAGCGGCGAAAGTAGTCCAGATGCCAGCGCTCTTTCCACGAGAGTCCCTGGCCTGGAATCCCTATGCTATGAGGTTGATATGCGCACTGACTTCCCGTGTCTGCAGGCTGACGCCACGGCCGGGTCCTCTTATCCGGGACCTGTGCATAGCCATCGCACTTTCGGCCGGTGCTGGTACAATTCCTACAGGCCGGGATAGCCTCGTCACACTTTTTGTGGCGGATTCTAGGCAGATCAGTCCCTGCTCGTGCATGTGGCGGTAGTGTCGTACTTGCAAGTGATGCAGCCGGTGCGCACCTTGGGATGCTTCAGCCTCTTTCTCTCCATGAAGATCTGGCAGGAGGGGAGATGTTATGGGCCGCGTAGAAACCCCACTCTTGGCGCCGATCACGGCCCCGTGTCTATTGTACATATTGACATAGTACTTATGTTAGCCATTGAGAGACTGAAGATCTGTGCTTAAGGTACAGACTTAAGTAGTATGTAGGGTTGTGAATTGGATGTGATGAAAGATAGATGGTCTTGACCTAGGGCAAGTTGAGTATAGACCTAACTGTATTCTAAAGTTGGATTCACGTTACTATTTTATGGGTCTTCCTACGACTCCATAAGTTCCATAAGTACTCCATACCTATAGAATAACTAGGATAAGGAAGATATAATAGTATATACTCGTAGTAGTATATACTAGCATTTAAGAGAGTTATACCTATAGTACTACTTAGTACTAACTATAGACACACGTGATCTGTTTCATAGGTGAAACAGCAGGCTCAGGGGTCGCGGGAATATAATTAACATTCATATTAACGTTGACTTTAGCCAGGGGAGAAGAGTATATTAGATATGTAGAATTCTAATAGTTGAATAGTTGAATATTAGAATAGCAGAATATAAAAATATCCAAATATCCAAATACAAAATACCAAGAGAAACAAAAAAAAGAAAAGACCTAAAATGAGCCTTGTATAGTTGTTACGTGGGGAGTTCCAGACCGGGCAGAAACTCCCTTGACCCCCTAAACAACTTCAAACTTTACCTTCGGCCTCTCGATAATCGCTTTCTTTTCTTTTTCTGGCTCTTTTTCTTTTTCTTCTTTTCTTTTTTTTTTGGCCCTGGTCTCTCTGGTCTCTCTGGTCTCTCTGGTCCTCTCGGATCTCATTTCCTCGCTTCGCAACGCGAGGGGCAACCGCTATTGCGAAGCCCACACTCGCGGTTATTTATCTGAAACACCACCGTAGCACGGCAGTGGTACGTCTCAAAGGCCCTGAAGGTCCTGATTTCCCGATTTCCGACTTGTGTCAAACCCCTGCGGACTTTCTGTACCTGTGGCCCCAAGCTGTTCCGAGCTGGGCATGTCATGCACTCAAACCCTCGAGGATGATTCACGTTTTGTATTGACGCATTATTCTGCAGGGTCAGCCACCATCTGCCGTTCTTTGATCCCCCTGTCGCCATCCCCTCCAATCCCACATCCCCGTCTCGTGAGAAGGTTTACGCCCGACCAGACCCATTGCGACAACACGAGCATTGAACACGCATGTGACAGCGGACAGCCTTCCTAGTTGCGATCAGGAATCGCTCCCCCAGACCCTCCGACCTCCGCCAGTGATATACCCCAAAGCGGTGGGGAAACGGACACCGTGGACCCGTGAGCGCATTATAGACAATGGAGACCATGGAAAACCAAGCATACCCGGAGTCTCCCATGGAGCAGGAGGAGTCCTATCCCTGCAAGGGCTGTGGAGAGGTTGGTACCATGTGAGAATGGCTTGAGGATCGGGCTAATAAAGCGCACACAGACTCTGGAAGAAGGGAAAGCATTTGAGCTTGGTAAGTGGGAGAGATGCAGGGCATGCGATGAGGTTCATGTGGCTAACTTCCTTCAGCTGGAAATCGGTGGCATATCGACTGTTTCCGATGCAGCACTTGCAGCACCTTGCTCGACTCCGATGCGCACCTTCTACTGCTGGGAGATGGCTCCCTCATTTGTAGCAACTGCACCTACAGCTGCAGCTCCTGTAACAACAAGATTGAAGACTTGGCGATCTTGACCGGAGATCAAGCGTTTTGCGCGCAATGTTTCCGATGCCGAAACTGCAAGAGGAAGATCGAGAACTTACGATATGCGCGCACATCACAAGGAATCTTCTGTATGGAGTGTCATGAGTCCCTGATGGCCAGAAGGAGGAAACGAAAAGCGGGTGGCAGTAGTGGGAAGAGACCGGCAGGGCCCAATGTGAAGCTGGATAAATCTTTGCCCTCGCTGCCTCCTCATCTGCTCGAGGAAGCGCAAGTAGCGGATGAATCGCCCAGTGAATATACCGGGACACCAGACCCGAACCGAGTGGCCGGAACGCCTGATCTCGATGAAAGACCGGAAAGTTCAAGGTCCAACCAGGTCGACACAGGTACGCGCTCCCTATTCCCTCTGAATAAAGATCAGTGCATAGCATTGTGCATTGTACCTGATTGGTTTGTTGGTCGCGTCGGGGACAATAGGACCCTATTGCCCTATTGCCCTATTGATGGGGCTCACAAGATGATCTATTCAGCATCCTCGTATAAAAGTATACAGTGCTTACCCATGTTCCAGATAACCTCATTCTCCCCTCCAGCACATATCGCAGTAGTCGTCAATCCATGACACGCAACACTGATTCCGAGGGAGGAGAGTTGTTAATTCCACTTGCGTTTGATCCTTCGGCGGAAGGTCGTTCATCACGGGGTCACTCGCAGACACGGCAGGAGGACTACTTTGGCCAAGTGCGATCTGAGTCTTCTCTTCCAACTTCCCAACGCGAATATCTCCAAGAACCCCCTTCTCGAACCTCGTCTGAAAACCCGTCTCCTCATATCGCCTACCAGGAAAAGAACTGGGAACGGAACGAGGGCAATTCAGACAAACCCCAAACACTGGACTCATCCAAATATTCAAAGGAGAGCTCTACCCGCACTTCATCCGATATTCCATCCAGTCAAAGGGAAACGAACAACGTATCCCGGGTCAGTGCTGAAAGTAGCAGGCCGAGGGAAATGGCCGATGCGAAACGGCCTACCCCTTTGGAAAGTGTGACTTCTGCCCCGGCTCGTCCATCAAGCGAACTTCGTCGTCTACACGACCACGGGTCAAGGGAATCAGCTTACTCCCAGTCTTCTAATATCCCCAATCTGCCGAAGCGTGGGGATTCGCTCGAGGGTAAACATCACCAGATTCCAAGGAAGGAGGTTGGCGCGTCGCCCTCATCATCTCATTATGGCGACTCCCCCCTGCTCCGCGGCGACACCTTCGAACAACCGACTCAGTCAACCCCAATGAAGACATCACACCCCGATTCCGCCCCATCGGAAGGCGCCGGTTCGCCCTCCTTGCTGCGTTATCACAGTGGCGGTGAATTCTCAATGGACGAGGAACTGTCGCGTATTATCAACCAAGATGACTCTGCCGGCCCAGGAAGCGATTCGTTCCTCAGACGGGTCTCCAACTCTGTGCGCCATGGTCGAAGCTTTAGCGAGAAGAGTGTGCGTACAGGTAGAATCGATACCAATGCTCGATCCCGCGGAGGAAGCATTGCTGGCACAGATGTTGGCAGCCCGATCGCCAGCTCTCAGAGCGAAGAGATCTCCTGGCTTCGGAATGAATTGCGCAAGGAGAAGCAACGCGTGGCAGAGTTGGAGGCAGCTGCCCGTGCTACTGCCGATGTCAAACAGGTCAACACCGAACTTTCCGAGAAGCGATCCACCATGGTGGTTCTCGACGCCCAGCGCGAGATTGTCCTCCGTGAACTGACAGTGCTCACCGATCACATGGAAGCCGAGAAGCGCGGTGGAACTAGCGGACCATTGGATCTTGGAAAACTCTCGAATCAAGTTCTACGTGAGCTTGCAGAGTCTATCCAAAAGCTCAAGGAATCTTATGCCCCGCAAATTGAGGGCTTGATCCAGAAGCGCAATGACCTGTCCAAAGAACTCGACGAGATGAACACTAAAAAGGAAAAGAGTTTCCAGGAGTTCGAGCAACTTTCTATGAAGAATGCTCAACTGGCTGAGCTGAACAATCAATTGGTTCACCAAATTCAAGAACTCTACAAGGCCACCGACGGCCAACCGCGATCGGACGGCTTGGGCATCTCTCACAGCAAAGAGAAGTCAACGACCTCCATAGAAGTCATGAAGCCTGGGTCCCATGATCTCCACCCTTCGGTCGTCTCAACTACCCATATTCACGAAGACTCCGAGCCCGCTACCGCCACCGTTGTCCCAGGCCCCCAGGTCGTTAGTATCCGGAAAGGTCAGCCCCGCAAGTTCAACTGGAAGAAAGGTGGTCAGAACGTTGCCAAGGGTGTCAAGGGTCTCAAGGGAGCCTTCATGGGCAGCGAAGGACAAGAGGGTACCGGCAGTCTTCCCCGCTCTCAGACTCAAGATCCTAGCCGCCAAGGATTTGGATTCTTTGGCAACCAAAGGAGCAAGCAGGGTGGAAAGATGTCACAAGCTGACAGCGTGCCTGTTCTGGCTGAGGCTGCTCCCAGTACTGGTAGTGGTGGTATGTACACTTTCCATTTGATTGGTGAATCAACTAACGCTGTCCAGCTCTCTTCGGCACTGACCTTGAGGTTCGCATGGAACACGAGAAGAGTATCATTCCTTTCATTGTCACGCGGTGTATCCAAGAGGTTGAATTGCGAGGTACGTTTCCATCATGTTGCCCAGCCGGATCTAGTTTCTAACATAAGCAGGCATTGACATGGAGGGCATTTACCGCAAGTCTGGCGCTGCTTCTGTGATTCAAACCATCCGCGAGGGCTTCGAGCGCTCTCCCTTTGAGTATGATATCTCTGACCCTGACCTCGACATCCACGCGGTCACATCTACCCTGAAGCAGTATTTCCGAAAGCTGCCCAACCCCTTGATCACGTACGAGGTCTACGAGCTGGTGATTGATTCTGGTGAAGTCAACCCTGTCTCTGCACGTATTGAGCTACTCCAGAAGAGCCTGCTTGAGTTGCCTCCTGTGCACCGCGATGTTTTGGAGTTCCTCGTTTTCCATCTCCGACGGGTGGTTGATCGCCATGCCGAAAACTTGATGACCTTCCAGAATGTTGCAGTGGTGTTTGCACCGACCATCATGCGGCCCGAGAGCCTTGCCCGTGAAATGACTGACGTTCAAAAGAAGAATGATGTGCTCAAATTCCTGGTGGAGAACTGCCAGGAAATCTTCATGGGCATGCAGGGTTAAGCCCTTTTTTTTTCTTTCACAAATTTTGTCTTTTGGATTACTCCGATATCCATAATTAACCGGCCTTTTGGTGCCATATGCCTGGCTTTTCGTTCTCTTTTCCGCTCCAGCCTTGTTTATACAGATACCACTTCTCATTTCCCTCGACTCAGGCTGACCGGCAGCCTTGATTCATTTACATTTTTTTCACTTCTTCGCTTCTACCCCCAGCGAAGTGTTCAATTCCGTGTTCCATGTCAATGTGTGGACTAAAATTATTTCTACAGGTGGATTGCAGTCTTTCCTTGCAGGTGTTTTGTTTTCGAGCATTCCAGCGTTCTACGCACTAAGACCCGTCGATAACCTTGCAATATGACATATTACGAGATCTCTATCTTCCCGTAGCCCCGGAGTTCTCGAGCTCTCCGATGAATAGAGGCCTCAATGTAGGAAGACTCCTCGACCTGTTGAACCAACAAATGCCAACACGCCTCCACGACTATGTCAGTTTGGGCCCGCGAAGCAATTCTGCATACCGCATCGTGTTCCTGCTTGCCCCCGTATCAAGAAAGCTGGGATTGATACAGGCGAGAACTGCGGTCCTGCACTTTCGGCTCTCGGAAGGATCAAAAACATGTTTCAGGACTTTGGTCAACATGCTTTGTCGAAAGGGGATGTATGGCTTCTTTGACGACTTTGGATCAACATTTGATATGCCTCGGATGCAGTCTTTCAGCACCGAGAGACTGATGTTGATCTCGCGGGTTTCCTTCATCCGCTCCGCAGAGTGCGAGAAGATATCTCTAGCTGCCTCGGAACCAGCCAGGTCAATGAGATATAGCAATCCATCTTCCGTATCGGAGGGGGATTCAATCCTGATGCGGCAGACTGCATGCGAGCGAGAAGAGCCATCATTCTTTAGCGTCGGAGCCGTCTGTCGTAATTGATTTGCTTCTTTGGAGAAGGAGAGCAAATCCTCCGTGCTTTGAACGTGATGTTCCTGAACCCCAACCAATTGTGTTGTACCGAGATTATCCTGCAGGATTGGAAAGGAGGCCCTCAAATTCAAAAGGTCTGTATCTCGTTGGCTTTGAAATGTACTCGTAGATCTCCCGGGCTGAACCTACCAAATGCCGAGTTCCCAGCCAATTCAAAGAATGCAGCATGAATATTCCTCTCGCCTGGTAATGTCCCATCGAAGAGCGTTCCCGCCACCAGACGCTCAATCTCACCAATTGAAAACGTCTTGCCTGATCCCGTTTGCCCGTAGGCAAAGAAGGTTCCCACATTACCTTCCCACGCCCAAGGGATGAGCGGGTGGACTGTAGCATTGTAGATTGATTCCGTTGAGTCAGTGGCACCAAAGACCTTGCCTGGTTTATATACTGAAGACTGAGATTTGTCAACGCCCACTCTCTAAATGGGATGTGGATGAGTTACATTCAAGGGGGGGAATCCCCTCACCACCCGGCGTAGATCATGTAGATCAACCACTCCACTCTCGTTTACACGCGGATAAACAGCCACGACTTGTCCGGTGGAGGATTCGTGTTCAAGTAATGGTCGAATGCGTGTGGCGACGGTGATGTTGGGATTCTCTTGGATGTCAGGGGTCGTTCGGGGAGGCTTGAATCGAGAGACTAGTAATTGATGGCGGGCAGCGTTGTCTAGTAGGAATTGCTCCATGATGATTTTCTCTTGACTGCTAATTGTTTTGTGTTTAGAGAGAAGATGCAAACGAGAGAGTAAACAAAGGATTAGCTAAGTTCTTATTCATCAGATCTGATATCACAAGCGATTGGATACTACTTAAGTACTTAAGTATAGTTGAAATATCTTTCAATAGTACATCAGAATGGAGAGAATTAAATGTATTCGCTCATGTATGTCATGTATGATATAAACAGAGCATCCAGTCACGTTCTCTGGGCTCAATATGCAAGGAAAATCGTCAGTCATAAGAACAAGGTATGTACAGATGCTGTATGCTATACAGAAGAAACCAATGGTTTAGAGACGGTGTTGGACAGGCGATTCAGGCGCAGGGATGCACGCAGAGATCTTCTCGGTGGGCTCCTCCCAGCCCAGGACGTGGGCCATCTTGTTATATGAGTCAATGCCACGGCGAGCATGGTCGGCAGGGACAAAAGGATCAGTTTCACCCAGGGTGCGACTGAACAGTTCGAGAGAAACCCAACCGCGGAAGCCAAGATCCTCAAAGAAGACACGAGCCACGTCGAGAATAGGCAGGTATCCACCGCGGGACTCTTCGAAGGGGAAGAGACGGGCATTGCGAGACCAGTTCATGCGGGTGGGCTGGCCAGCAACGTGGAAGGGGTGCTTATCATCCAGAGGGGCAGAAAGACGCTCTCCATCGACCAGCTGAACATAGAAGATCTTCGCCGGGTCAATGTTCGCCGTCCGCAAACGCTGCAGCGAGGCCGCCAGATCCGCCGCCGCATTGGCCGTGCATCCCGTAGGCGAGGCCGGGTCGGCATAGACCCGCCCAGCAATGTTAAAGGAGTCCAGACACAGACCAAAGTTAGGACGGTTAACATCCCGGACAACATCCCACGAGGCCTCCCAAGTATTGACATGATCACCCCAGCAGAGGGCCTCATAGACAAAACGGAAGCCAGCGCCGGCACCCAAATCCGCCAAACGCTGGAGGTCACGCACAATGACTGCGTGGTCTCCAGTGGTGCGAGCAACACCCGTTTCGGGGTCTGGACCGAGGAAGTTTGATGGGACCTGGATCATGTCGGTGCCCAGCGCCCGCGCCAGGGTGAACCACTTGGGAAGTTTCTCGTTGACTAGTCTGTCTGACTCGGTGCGGTCGATGAGACCTTCATACATGGAGAAGGGTTGCAGGCAGATGATGGTCATGCCGAGACGGTCACACATGCGGCGGGTGGAGCGTGCGGCTTCCAAGTGATCGCCACCAAAGACCCGCTGGGCATAGCAGTCCAAGTCGTCGAAGAACAGTTCGATGCCCTCAAAGCCATGGGCGGCAGCTTGCATGAGTTTGCCAGGAAGGTCGTGTACCCAGGGCCGGCCCAGGGACATGGAGGCAATACCAGGACGGTTGTAGACCATTTTGGAGACAGAGAGAGAGAGAGAGAGAGAGAGAGAGGGAAAGAGTGGGGTGGATGTATATGCAGATAGATGCAGATGCAAGATGCAAGTATCAAGTCTCAGTCACAAGAGAAGAGAGAAAATAGTAGGAATACCCAGAACAATAAAAGAAATCAAAGAACCCAACGATAAAACGTTAACCCCTTCCCCCTCAACTTGTTCTATCCGCAAAACGTTCTGCCTGTGAAGATTACGAAGCGGCTAAGCGTTTGTCCCGTTTCGTTTAGCCGTTATCCACTCCACTGCCAGTGTATTCCCCTTCGCCTTCCCTCCCTTCCCCCATAATTTTCTACTCCACAGAACTTCTTAGAAAGATGCTCTTTTCCCCGGAAACAAAAAATGTCGGAGATTCGGCTCCGGGTGGGCTCCGTGCAGAATCCGGGGTTGTCTCCTGTCTCTTAATGGAAGGCTCTTAAGGCAAGGAATTGCTTCACCCTCTATTTAACTTCCCATCCTTCAATCCAATCATGCCTGTCAAGGTGGCAATTGTCGGCGCAGGCCTGATTGGCCCTCGCCATGCAAAGTCGGTCATCGCGAACCCCTCCACAGAGCTCATTGCGCTGGTTGACCCAATGCCAACGGGCGAGGCAACCGCGTCTGGCCTCCAGACGAACTACTACCCGTCAGTGGCCTCACTGCTGGCATCCTCCCATCGCCCCGACGCAGCAATCGTCTGTACTCCAAACCACACCCATGTACCCATCGCAAAGGAGCTCCTAGCTGGGGGAGTCCACGTCCTCCTCGAGAAGCCCGTGAGCGACACCTTGGAAAACGGTCGGTCGCTCCTGGAGTTTGCAAAGGCCCCCGAACAGGCCCACCTCAAGCTCCTGGTGGGCCACCACCGTCGCTTCAACCCCTACGTACGAGCCACCAAGTCGGTTCTTGAGAGCGGCTCTCTCGGACGTACCATTGCGATCAATGGACTGTGGACATTATACAAGCCAGATGCATACTTCGCCCCACCAACCGACTGGCGCGCCTCGAACGAGACGGGTGGTGGTGTGATTCCCATCAACCTCGTCCACGACATCGACCTGATGCACCACTTCTTCGGCCCCATCGTCCGAGTTACAGCAGAGCCTACTCTCCCACAACGTCCAAGCCCACATAACGCCGACGAAGGCGCTGCCCTGACGCTACGCTTTGCATCAGGGGTCGTCGGCACATTCCTAGTGTGCGACGCCACCCCTTCGCCACACAGCTTCGAGGCCGGGACGGGGGAAAACCCACTTATTCCGAAAACATCGACCGGGGATTCGGATTTCTACCGGATCTTTGGCTCGGATGCGTCGCTCAGTGTGCCTGATCTGACGCGGTGGAGCTATGATGCTAGTCCGGAGAAGAGTTGGAATCATCCGCTGACAGTGGATCGCATTCCACTGCCTGACGATAAGGCGCCATTCGATTTGCAGCTTGCGCATTTCGTGGATGTGATCAATGGGGAGGCTGAGCCTAGTTGTACTGGCGAGGAAGGCTTGCGCGCTTTGATTGTCTGTGAAGCTGTGCAAAAGGCGATTCGATCTGGTCAGCCTGTAGATATTGATGTTGACTTATTATGCAAGTCAAATTAGAGTGGATTGAAGGCGAGTTTCATTTCATATTTATTTCACATTGGTTGGATATTATGGTATTGAACTCACAGATACAGAAATGGGCATATCTTCATTTGAAGTATACAGCGACAAGTGTCAATTCTGCACTCTTTCTGTACAATTTACATATCCAAGTCATTCACATTCATGTCAGAACAAGAGAACCCCCCAGGGTCAAAGAGCAAACGCCAACTGAGAAGCTCTACCGCACAGTTCAAGCAAACTTCGGCTCAGCCGAAGCGTCCTCAACCTGCTCATCACCCATCTTGGCTGCCGCAAACCCCGAAGCCTCGATATCGTGACGGAACTGCTCCTCGTTCTCCCGCAGCTGAGCGACCATCTTGCCATGGGCATGTCGCACAGGCCTGATGTCAAACAGGGTATCCATGCTCTCGAGGGGAATACCCTTAGTTTCAGGAATGAGGAAGTACACGAAGACAATGGAACACATCATCAGCGACGCAAAGAAGAAGTACACTCCGTATCCCATGGCAGAGAACATCTGCGGGGTGAAACGGGAGATGAGGAAGTTCCACAGCCAGTTGGAGGCGGCAGCACAGGCCTGAGCCAGCGAACGCATATTGGGATCAAACATTTCCTAGACGGTGTTAGTGTATGTTTTGTGGATGGCGATGGAGATTCGGAGATGCTTACCGAGTTGAGAACCCAGGGGGTTCCGTTCCAGGTTGGGGTATAGAAGACAGTCCACAGGTAGAAGAAGAACATGGCTGCAATACCACCGCCAGTCAGGCTATCGCTCTTGTTGTTCTCCGGCTGCGCAATCTTGATGTACGCGCCGACGATCCACAAGCAGACGGAGCCACCTGCGGCACCGACCAAGAGCAAGTTTCGGCGACCGACTTGGTCGATCAGCCAGAGCAGCCAGATAAAGGTCACGACCGTCTTCACGACGCCGAAGATTCCGGTGGTGAACAGACTGGTGTTGGTACCCTTGACACCAATCTACAGAGATATCGTCAGTATCAGGGATCTGGATGATCGGAGATAATTGTAACATACCGACTTGAAGACAGTTGGGCTGTAGTAGTTGATGGCATTGATGCCAGATCCGTTTTGCCAGAAGAACAAGGCGCTTCCGAGGAACAGACGCCACATCACCTTCTTGTTGGTACCAGCAGCTTGGAAAGGCTTCCAGAAACCAATTCCAATACTGCGGCGCTGTTCCTCCAGCGCCTGGTCAATGGCGCCGATCTCTTCAATCATGTAAATGTCATTCTCAGGGAGTTGACGAACCCAGCACAGGTTCTTAATGGCCTCCTCACGGCGACCACGTCCAAACAACCAGCGAGGAGACTCCCGAATGAAGACGACACCAATGAGCAAGAGACCGGAGGGAATCAACTGAACAGCAAAGGGAATAAGCCACTGCTTGTGGCTTGGAGCGAGTGTCTCATCGACACCGAACTAGAAATAGACATAGATTAGCATATGCACATTCAAATCCAACATCAGATCTCACTCACGTTAATCCAGAAACCAACAAGACCACCAATCTGCCAACCCAGCTCATAAACACCCACCAATCTACCACGAATAGCTGGCGGAGCCAGTTCCGAGATATAGATAGGAGTAATATTTGAGCCAGCGCCGACACCAAGACCAGCCAGGACACGACCACCATACAAAAGACCAAGACCACGGTCGCCATTAGCACCCAGCATCAGACCGGCACCGAGAGTAAAGACCAAACCAGCAGCCAACAAACCAATCCTGCGACCCCAGAAGTGACCAATTGGGTAAGCGAAGAAGGCACCGAAAAAGGCACCAGCCTGGTAGCAGGAGACGATGTTGGCACTGATCAAGTTCCGCTCTGTATCTCCCATTGCGCCGAAGCCGAATTCATCCTTGAATGAATCCAGAGAGATGGTTGTGCCGATGAAGGCACTATCGTAACCAATCATGCATGATGTGCATGAAGCCACCGCGGCCAGAAGGTAGACTTTCCAATTGTAGACTGCCTTGGGGGTGGGACGGTCCTCGACCAGCTTGAGGATAGACATGGTGAGGATCGAAAGAGAGAAGGGGGTTTAAATTATATTCAGACCCCAATGCTAGAGATGCAAAGAGGCAAGAAAGACGTCCTAAGACGATCACCAGGGAAAGGGGATATGAAGCTGATGTGTAGGGAGAGAAGAAAGGAAGAGATGGGAAGAGAGAAAAATAGGACGGCGCCACGTCCCTTTTAAGAGTCAACTAGCGAGGGTGGACTCGATCTAAATACTAGCACCCCGGACCGTCGATTTGCCCCGGGGTAAACGCGAGAATCTGGGGTTCAGAATAGTATAGGGGAAGTTGGCGGAGAAAGGTATAGCACACGCAATACGAGAGTCAGAGAAAAACCCTGTTGAATTGCAGCCAAGGCGCGGCAAAACGAATCTTTGCAAGTTGGGCTGGGCGAAGAAGAGAGAGAGTTTCGCCTCTTGGCCCCCCATTGTGGCTGGTCCCAAGAGTCAGATTAACTTAGCGAACGACCAAAAGGACCAACAGGAGCGAGGGGAGAGCAAATAGACTAAGTAGACTCGACCAACGAGAGAGCTGCAAAGGAAGAATTTGCCTTAGTGTGGAGACTCTGGGGAGGCCTCCGATGCCGCTTCGAAAGTGGGGACAATCCCGTGACAGTGAATATCACAACGTGTGAAATGTCTGGGGTCCGGGGGAGGCAACACGGGGTACAGTGCACGTTCCCGTGTTCTGGAACGGTGGTAAACTGCGAAATGGGCGACATGCTGATTGGTCCAGTCAAATTGGATCCACGAGCAAGCGAAGAGGGGGGACAACCAATAACGAGACTCGGATATCTGATCGGGGGGAAAAGCGCTTTTCCCCTACTTCCAGTCCATCCGAGGATGCCGCCCATTCACGGGGGATTTTCGAGGGATCTGTGTGTTCACTTGGCCTCTGTAACCGTAGTGTTCTCATTGGTCTCTGATATTGTTGTATCTGCACGCCATGTCCCAGTTTCCCCGTGGGGGGGTGTGTATGTGCAGTGGGAAAGCATTCAGCCCATATGTTGTGCATGTGCAGTAGAGGGAATAGCGAGTATAGGGTACTGCGTACAGCATCCTGTCAAGTAAACACAGTATTGAAGGAAGTAAATGCAAGTAGTGATCCTAGTTTAATATGTTTAATATTGATTGTGTTCCATGAGTTACGGAGATGAGTTCATAGAGTGGAGAGCGAAAGTGTTTCTCCGCCCCGCGGCTCATCGCTTTTTTCATCGCCTAAGGGTTTTCCGATCATTCAATTATAACACAGTAGTCCCTCCCCCTCCTTGGATCGACACACACATATTTTCATCATGTCTATCACAGAAGTTAACCAAACGTCAGAGGAGCCCATTGCCATCCCCTCCCACCTTGATGGCGTCGCTTACCTCTATGGCCACCCTCTCCTCAACTCCCTCTCTCCCCCTCTTCACCAGACTGTCTACAATGCCCTGGGTCTCAACTGGACTCAGATCCCGCTGTCCAGTGTGACTGGCACTTCCGAGACCTACCCCCCTCCTTACACCAAATCCCCACCAATTGAAAAATACTTGGCCTCCATCAAGGCCAACCCCAAGTTCGTCGGCTCCTCCGTGACCATGCCACACAAGGTCGCCATCATGCCTCACCTGGACGACTTGACCGAACACGCCCGCCAAGCAGGCGCCTGTAACACCATCTTCCTGCGCGACGACGCCAACGGCCAACGCCAATACGTCGGCACCAACACCGACTGCGACGGCATCCGCGAAGCCCTCCTGCAGAATGCCCCCGATGCCACTCGATTCCGCGGCCGGCCCGCACTGATCATCGGTGGTGGAGGCACAGCCCGCACAGCCATCTACGTGATGCGCCGCTGGCTGGGCTCCAGCCGCATCTACGTCGTCAACCGGGACGCCGAAGAAGTGGCCGCCATTCTGGAAGAAGACCGCCAACGCAACCCAGATGCCAATGGCCAGGCTCCTCTGATTCCCGTCACTGATCCTGCTGAGGCTGCTCGTCTGGAAGCCCCCGCTGCCATCGTCTCCGGTATCCCCAACTATCCCCCCAAGACTGCCGAGGAGCTGCGCTCCCGGGCGATCATCGAGGCATTCCTGGGAACTGCCGCTACTGCAGACAAGCAGGAGGGTGTCATTCTGGAGATGTGCTACCACCCTACTCCCTGGACTGAGATTGCCAAGCTGGCTTCCACAGGTGGCTGGAAGGTGATTTTGGGTTCTGAGGCTCTGATCTGGCAGGGTCTGGAGCAGGCTCGTCTCTGGACGGGCAAGGATATCATTGGTACTCCTGGTCTTGTGCAAGAGGTCAAGGATCTCGTTGCGAAGACTATTGCGGAACGGGCTGAACCCAAGTCTAGCCTGTGATTGATGATGGATGTTTAACGACTGTACAGAGCGCAAAATAGGTGCTAGTTTGCATTGTCTATAGATAAACGGCGGCGTCAAATGGAATATATACTTCTATCTCTGTATCTCTTATGTCAATATGTAAAGGGTACCCATATGTAAGGAGTATATGACTACAGTAAGCCCTGGAAGCCCTTAAGCCCCCGGTCGAGCATAGTCTAGGTTGCGAACACGACGCCAGACTTCACGTACTGTGCGCTCCTGTGTCTCGCGGCCTGTTTCCGTGGCAGACGGACCAGCCGGTCTGGAATGTGAATCAGCCCGCGTCCCCAATATTTCAACATCATCACTCACCTGATAGCAAGATAAAGTCGGCTCCCCAGTCGAACGTCTTCAATCGGCGCCGTTTCTTCCTTCTCTGGTGGGTTGGCAGTAGTCATCAGTCCCCCTGCCTCCAGAAGGATAGCAGCTCCAGCAGCGATATCCCTTTATGAACAGTCAGCAATGGTCCCGCACACCCAGAAACCATCCCACTCACCATTCCCAACAACCTCCTTCCCACCAAATATCAAAGGATCCCATAGCAACATACGCCAGATCCAGCGTCGCGCTACCTAAGCTGCGCATGCCGTGCACCATTCCACCCCTCCCAGACCGACTCCCCAGCTCAGCAGCCATATTCACAAAACTCTCAATCTTGCGGTGCATGTTACCATCTGGGATATCGCGACGGTCTTTCCCCCATTCGCAGGAGAACACACATTGCGCCGGCGCATTGGGAGGCATTGGCGGGATGGGGTTGTGGAGGAGAGGAAGGCGACGAGTCTCATTGAGCCAGGCTCCGCGCCCAGTACAGGATGACCACAGCTGGTCTGTGAAGGGGGCGTAAATCACGCCGATGACAGGCTTATGGTCAACGATGAAGCCGATGGAGACACAGAACATGGGGAAGATATGCGTGTAGTTTACAGTGCCTGGAGCTCCGGTTAACATGCGCTCGATATCGACTCGGGATTCAAAACTCACCATCTAATGGGTCAATACACCATGTTGGTTGTTCATCGATGAGATAGTCGCGCGATTGGCCCTTGGCGTATGTTTCCTCGCCGAGGAATCTGAAAATGGTCAGTTTGCCATCGCGTCCAGAGAGACAACTACTGACTTGTGAGAGGGGTATTTGGCTTCCAGTCTGCTTCGAATAAATACTTCGACGTCTGTTCACGGCTATCAGTGATATCATTCGTCTTAGCTCTCGGGATCCGCACCTTCGTCGGTCTGCGTCACGATGTCGACTGCGTTTTCCTTCTCTTCGAAGGCGTTGGCGTCTCCACCGGCGATCCGCTGGTCTACTCGATCCATGAGCATCTTTCCTGCCTTGCGACCCAGGTCTATCGCGAAGGTGTAAATCTCGTCGAGCTCATCTTGGGGGAGTGCCATGATGGAATGTGTACGGAGTAGAGCGGCAATAAATCAGTCAGTCAAGAATAGCAAAGGAGAGGAGAGAGATAGAGAAATCAGAAGTAGAGAAGTAGAAAAGAAGCTAAGCAGAGCGAAGAGGGGGCAATTGAGTCACTGAAAATGGACACCGCCGGCTTATCGAAGGTCCCCACTGCGGAGAGGCGTCGATTTTGAGATCGACTTAAGTGTAAGTACATTTAAGCATAAAGATCTATCTATATAGATGTAGATCTATATTTGAATTATTTCAAGTATTCAGAAGCTAACTAGGTTTAAGTCCATGGATTGAACACAGAATTAACTACTTCTTAAGTAGAAGAGGAAATCTCAGCCCTGGAAATTGCCGGCTATTTATAGTGGAGCCTGTACCTGTAGACAGCACCTATATATACGCACTCTAAGGCAAGTATTTGATCATTCAGTTTGACTTAGCTATTCTCAATGGGACCTGATATCCCTAGACTATAATTCTCAGCCTCAACTGCCCAGACGGGAGAAATCAAGATCGATTGCTCTTGGAATCGAAAGCTTACCGCGGATATACACGGGTATCTCCGGATATTCAACGGCTATTGCCCGTATTGTACCTGCGTACAGAATACCTCGTATCGTACCTGCCAAGCCCTAAAGTTCACTGAGAATCACAATTCGGCCTGACTTCAGACCAATGAAGATGCGTCAGACTTGGTGCTTGATTGCACACAGTGCGGCCTATGAATCTATAGATCTAACTAAGATCTAACCACAAACGGAGCCTAGTCCTCAGTCAGACATTGCAAAGTGGTACCCGGGAACGAGCCTCGGCCACTTTTTCACCATAGTCCCCCTGCATGGACGATGAGTACATTGATGTGTCACTGTTTCTTCAATCTCGCATAACTAATGACACTGGAACCAAATCCCTTGATCTATGTTTAGAGGGTGAACTAACCCTGCCAAGTCTCGTATTCTAGGGCGATCCCATACCTCAACACGAGCCATACGAGGGGAAAGATCCCATCACGGATATGATGGGCAGGACTTTGGTTACATCGCATATGCGGCTGATAACACGGGCTGTGGCCCCCTGCTTCGGGATGTACATATATCATGCATCAATCATCTGTTGATTGCACCAGTTCATGTCCAAAGCGAAGTGCTTGGAATCTTGTCCGAATCATGCAGTATAAATTCTTGTTCACAGCCCTTCTTTCCTTCTTGCCTGTCGCAATTGCAGCAGACCCTCGCTACTGCCAGGGGAAAGCATACCTTGATCCTAAAGACTTCACTCTCAAGGAGTCCCCGGATAATGCCCACCTACCCGTGCTCTCCAAGCATTTCAAGTCCAAGGGCAAGATTGCAAGTGTCACGGCAGTTCTTCAATCTGCCAACCGTGCTCTGAAGAAAGATCCTCCCCCTGTCGGCAAGGGATCCCCTGCCGAATCATGGGCATGGAATTCAGGCGATGACAAGACCAAGGAGTGGATTCCCCAGGGCATTACCAGCTCGGCCGATGCATTGGGCAAAGGAACCTGGAACGAGCACGAGGCATGGATTGTCAGTTGGTATCGTGACGGGGACAGCGTGCGTCTCAGCTTTGTCGACCGCAAGACGCACAAGTATCGCCATGTGATGCTTGTTTACCCAAATGCAGACGATGACTTCAAGTCCATCACCATCCATGCCGGCGGCATCATGTGGTATGGCAATGTGTTGTATGTCGTCGACACAAAGAATGGTATTAGGGCCTTTGACCTGGATAATATCTGGGAGGTTGAAATTGCGGATGGTGTCGGAAAGTCCAAGGATGGCAAGTCATATTCTGCAGATGGGTATGGATATGTGCTTCCTCAAATCCGGTAAGTGCAGGGCAATATATCCTCGATCGAAAACTAATAGCTTTCCAAGTTGGTACAAGTGGACTCCCGGCAATGATTCTCCATTCCGTTTCTCTTGGGTCTCTCTTGACCGCAGTGACTCCCCCGATACCCTCATGGTGGGCGAGTTCGTACGCGACGGCGAAAAGTTCAAAAACACCGACACCCCAGTTCCCATTCGCTATGTCAAGTACAATCTGGATGCTTCGACTCGCCGGCTACACACCAACAACGGTATTGCCACGGCAAGCTGGGCATACTGTGTCAACATCCCCAATGTCCAGGGTGCTGTTTCGTACGAGAAGAAGTTCTACATCTCCCGCAGTACTGGCAGAGCCCCTAAACAAGGCGATCTCTTCGTCTGGGAGGAGGGAAAGACGGCAGTAAAGCACCAAGGCTGGTTTATGGCAGGAAATGAAGACATGAGCTTCAATCCTGTACGCAAAGAGTACTATACTGTCACCGAGTATGACGGTGACCGGTATATTCTGGCATACAAGGTCTAGTCGGTCTAGTTTCATCGGACTGGTGGTGTACGATACCTAAGAAGCGGTTTACCTTAGACCTAAATACAACCACAATTTTCGCTGTATAATCTATGAAACCCTGTACTAATTGGAGTGTCTCACCTATCCCCCAAAGTTTCCTCAAAGGCCATTCGAGACCCAGAGGCGTACAAATTGCCGTTTTGGGAAAGTCTGCAGCGTATTCCTGTGGGGCCAATGCTTGGCGTCTACAGCAAGTATAAAAGTGGAAGTAAAGGAGAGGCTGAATCGCACTTTTCATTCTAAAGCTTTTGTCGATTGCCTTCAGCTTTTCTGAAACCCCCGAGAATTGCTGAAAATGCATATTCTAGTTCTAGGAGCCACAGGTAAACCTTGAAGATCACATTTTCCACTCGCATACTCACCTGAACGGGACCTCTAGGTGCCATTGGCCGTCAATTCTGCGACATCGCTCTTCAGGAGGGTCACAGGCTCACGCTATTGGTTCGCAATGCTGGCAAGGTTCCCGAGCATATCCGTCTCAATGCAGCAACGAAGATCCTCGAGGGGACTCTCGAGCTTGACTCTGACCTGAACGAAGTTGCGGAGTGCGGAGCAGATATATTTGTTTCTCTTGCAGGACCATCCTATGGAACACAGGGGACGGTATGTACTTTAAAGCAAAATCTCACATCAGTGAGAATCTGGCGCCGACTGATACTTATAGCCTTTGACGAATGGGTATCATATCCCCATCCCCAAACTCGCCTCGCACAAGATCAGTCGTGTTCTTATCCTATGCACTCCGTCTTATCGAGACCAGCTTGATGTCGAGACGTGGAAGTGGCGAGCTGGGGAGTGGTTCATGAAGATCTTCAGTTCGGGCCAATACCAGGAGATGGTGGGTGTTGGAAAGGCTGTTTCTTCTGCTGAGGGTATTCAATGGGGTCTGTACCGGGTTGGGGGGCTTACCAATGGACCAGAAGCATCAGTAGAGACAACATACCTGGGCAGTGGTGCTGACCAGACCTGGATCAGTCGAGCCAGTGTGGCGAGATGGGTCTTGAATGAGGCGACGGAGGGGAAGTGGATCGGCAAGACTCCGTACATTTGCAATAAGTGAAGTTCAACATGAGAATTTGAGAGAGTCAAGAAGTGAAAGCGAGAATAGCGAAGTACTCACCGCCCGACGGGTACTTTCAAAGGTCTTCAAACTGTTCTTCCCATAATTGTCGATTCCAGTCTGATAGAAACTCAAAGGAAAAAGCACGTTTCTTCAATGTCAAAAAGACGTCCTCACACTAAGTCTCGAAGTGGATGTAATCGATGCAAAAGACGTCGGATCAAATGCGATGAAGCCGGACCCCCTTGCGCCACTTGCAGAGCTCGGAATGCGGAGTGTGAATATTCTGTTGATATCTTTCGGCCCTCCAGTTGGGTGCAATCCAGCGAGAATGCGAGGACAGAGTGTAAAACGCAACCAGCGCTTCAAACACCACATCGAGAATCCTACGAAGCTGTGCAAGATGGCCCGAGTCTTCCGCCAACCTCATTAACTCGCAATCGAGAACTACAGCTAATGCATCACTGGACATTAAAGACATGTCATTCGTTTTCGGCCACATTAAGTCAGGTTTTCCAGACGTATGTGGTGAAACAAGCGCTTCACTATCCCTTCCTGATGGACTCTTTCCTTGCACTCACGGCACTACACATGGCGTCTGAACTATCGGACACCGTGGAAAAGAAAGAACTTCTGAATGATGCCCTTCGATACCAGAGCAGAGCAATGCCTGTATTTCGAGATGAGTTAGGAAATGTGTCGCCGGCTAATTGCCATGCACTTTTTGCGTGTTCTGTTATTATGATGGCTTGCACTGTGGTTTTTCCCTCTTTGGAAGCCAGGTATGGGTGGGAGAACAGAGCAAAAGCCCCCACTGGCCTTAAGTCTCTCTTCCATCTCATTAGTGGGATTCACTCTATCATTGATCAGGCGCGCGAATCCCTGGAGGAAGGGCCATTCAAGGCAATCATCCAGCCTTGGTCGGGGGCAGATCCAGCATTTTTATCGCCCGAGGAGCGTGTCCTCCCTTCCGAGCTCAGGATGCTTTGCGATGATGGATCGTTGTCACCTCTCTACAGAAACGCAATCGATACGCTTGAACACTTTGCCATGGCAGAGGGAATGATGATTCCGTGGATCAAGGTGGTTGGGGAGGATTTTATCGAACGAGTGGAGGATGGAGAGTCATTGGCTTTGTTGATCTACGTTTGCTGGGCAAGGCTAATGGCCCGTCAAGAGATGTGGTGGGCTCAAAGTGCAGGTAAGATGATCGTACAAGATTTTGGACATGTAGAAAGTGGTGAAGAGAGGGACCGCCTGTTAAAATTGGCTCCTTTTCTACATGAAATGCTCTCCAGCACCTAAATATGGCTCAAATGGACATTGAAAATGTAGCCTGTTTAAAAAAGAAGAAAAGAAAAGGTTGTTCTGTTGCTCTGTTCAGCTATGAGGCTGTCGATGCCCATAGGTATGCTTACTAATAATATATGTCACATGCCTCTGACCAGCCCTACCAAGCCCTAACCACCCGATATGGAAATCGCCGATAACCAGCTCAGCCAGCCAGAGCGCAGCAATTAATACAGAAGAGCTTTGTCAACTTTTTGATCTTCAACTTTGTATGTCCAGATTCTTCAAAATGGCCGAAAACGTCGCAAAGAAGCTCAAGACCTCCTCCCCCTTGATCGGGACTCACAAGTAAGCTTCAGTGCGAAATCTGTAGCTTCTCTGCTAATCAAACCCAGCGGCCACTTCCACGCCGACGAGGCTCTGGCTGTCTACCTCCTCCGTCTGCTCCCCACTTACGCCTCCTCACCCCTCATCCGCACCCGCGACCCCGTGGAGCTTGAGAAATGCCACACCGTCGTGGATGTCGGTGGTGTGTACGATGCCGCCATCAACCGCTATGATCACCACCAGCGCACCTTCGCAACCACCTTCCCCCAACGCGAGACCAAGCTTTCCTCTGCCGGTCTCGTATACATGCACTTCGGCAAGGCCATTATCGCGCAGAAGCTCTCTCTGCCCATCGAGCACGCCGATGTCGACCTCCTCTACGAGAAGCTGTACACCGACTTCATCGAGGCTATTGACGCCAACGACAACGGAATCTCTGCTTATGACCAAGCCGCTATCACCGCCGCCGGAATCGAGAAGCGCTTCAAGAACGGCGGTATCACTCTCGCCTCCATGGTCGGCGACATGAACAACCCCGACCCCACCAGCCCACCTGGTGAGCCCCAAGATGAAGACAGCCTCTTCGGACGCGCCAGCACCCTGATCGGAAACGCTTTCGCACGCAAGTTGCACCACGCCTGCACATCGTGGATGCCCGCCCGCACAACCGTTGGCTCCGCCTACGCGTCGCGCAAGGAGATCCACCCCTCCGGCCGTATCATGGTCCTGCCCCAAGGCGGTGTCCCCTGGAAGGAGCACCTGTACAACTTCGAGGCTGAGGCCTCAGGAGGCAAGGAGATTGACCCTGCCGCGCAGGTCTACTACGTTCTCTACCCCGAGAACGCCAATGCTGACGCCAAGTGGCGCATTCAGTGTGTCTCTGTCAATGAGAGCAGCTTTGAGTCTCGCAAGCCTTTGCCTGAGTCTTGGCGCGGTGTTCGCGACCAGGACCTTGACGGTGTCATGGCCGCGGAGGCTGAGAAGAATGGTCAGAGCAAGATTCCCGAGGGTGCTGTCTTTGCCCACGCCAGTGGCTTCATTGGTGGCCACAAGACTCGGGAGGGTGCCATGACTATGGCTGAGCGCAGCCTCGGTCTTTGATATACCCAATTTTGATGAATGAAGAATGATTAAATAAAAGTTAAATTGATGATATATCTTCATGAAATGAAAGAAACCTATGATCTTTTCTAGCATGAATTGGAACCCCGAGAAGTCTTCGAACCCACAATGGCCAAAAGATATGTATATTGCCCTGCAGAGATTGGGATTTTGACATGATACTCTGTGTTTGTCTTTGGGCACAACAGAATTGCAGTAATCAGATTATCATGGAGTAGCCTAGTGACCAGCCCATGGAAGCCAAGGGAAAACACCAATTGAGCTTTGGGTCGAAAACGGCGGTGATCGAATCGGATGGATGCGAAGGTCAGTCGGCATGCTCCGAAGGAAGACAAAGCGCCAAGGGTCAATGCGCCGAATGACACCCTTGCAGCACATTAGGATGTGGCAAAGGCTAAGACGGGGGCTGAGATGTCCCACAAACGAGCCCCAATATGGTTCGAAATGAAGGAAATGATTACAAATTGAGTGTAGCCCTGGCGCCGCAGTGAGGATTGCCGTAGCAAACGGCAGTGACGTACTCTGTACCAGGCGCGGAATTGATGTTCGGAAAGATATGACAGAGCCTCAGTGACGAATGTTAAGGGAGCTGATGTCCTCAATGCTGCCACTGCCGTCACCAGACGGGGTCATGTCCTTAGGCTCAACCTGGGCGCTGGGTTCCTCACGCTCGCCCATGGCACGCTGAATGAGTTTTGCCTTCGTAGCAGCCCCCTTGAGCCGCTCATCCACATCGTTGACAGCTTCTTCGGTATTGCTCATGTCCAACGTAGCTGGGTCCACGAGCTCAAGTAGAGTGTGAAGGTTCCTGACGAGGCGCGTGCTGTGAGGCGGGAGACTCGGCATATCCTCGCAGATGGATGGATCAAGCGAGATTTCTTCTGTAGTAGATTGCGCTGGTGCATTGTTCGATTTGGAATCGAGTCTTTGTGCCCAGACTAACGCTCTGCCGTACAATCGGCCCATCTCGACAAACTTCTCGAAGCCCTTCTCGACGGCAAAGACGCTTCCTTCGGTATATCCGGTTTCTGCTCCATCTTTGGCACCGAGCTCGAATCCTTCATTGTAGAATTGCTCCTCCAAATCCAACAGATCATCCAAGAGGTTCTCCATTTTCAAAATCAAGTGCGTTGTTGAAGCAGCAAACTGATAGAGCTGATAACCACTTTTTTTCTGCCGCGGGGTCACGAGATGTCCACTCTTTTCCCAATTCCCGCCTTCGCCCCTCCAACTTCCCAACTACCACAATGTCGAATCCTATCTTGCCCAAAGAGGGCGAGCGCAATATCCTTATTACTAGCGCTTTGCCATATGTGAACAATGTTCCCCATCTGGGTAACGTCGTGGGCTCCGTGCTGAGTGCCGATGTCTTCTCCAGGTATGACTCAACTCCCCGCAGATATGAATGCGCGAAACTAATAAAATCCAGATACCACAAGGCTTGCGGTCGTCCGACACTGTACATCTGTGGAACTGATGAATACGGTACCGCCACCGAGACCAAGGCGCTGGAGGAGAAGCTGTCGCCCGAGGATCTTTGCGCCAAGTACAACAAGATCCACCAGGAAGTGTACGAATGGTTCAACATTGGCTTCGACCACTTTGGTCGCACACCTACGCAGAAGCACACCGATATCTCCCAGTCAATCTTCAAGCGCCTGTATGACAATGGATACCTGGGCGAGCAAACCGCCGAACAGCCTTTCTGTGAGAAGCACGGCTCCTTCTTGGCCGATCGTTACGTCGAGGGCGAGTGCCCCCGTTGCCACTACGATGACGCCCGTGGAGACCAATGTGATAAGTGTGGCCACCTTCTGGACCCCTTTGATCTGATTAACCCCCGCTGCAAGCTCGATGGTGCCGCGCCGATCCGTCGCGAAACCAAGCACATCCACCTGCTGCTCGACAAGCTCCAGCCTCAGCTGGAGAAGTGGGTTCACCCCGCTATCGAAAAGGGCAACTGGCCCAAAAACTCCCGTGTTATCACCGAGTCCTGGCTGAAGGAGGGCCTGAAGGGCCGTGGTATCACTCGTGACCTCAAGTGGGGTGTTCCTGTCCCACTGGAAGGATTTGAGAACAAGGTCCTTTACGTCTGGTTCGATGCCTGTATCGGTTACCCCTCTATTACAGCCAATTACACCGACGACTGGGAGAAGTGGTGGCGTAACCCGGAAGATGTCCAGCTCTGGCAGTTCATGGGCAAGGACAACGTTCCATTCCACAGTGTTATCTTCCCCTCCACCCAGATCGGAACTGGGGACAAGTGGACCATGCTCCACCATCTGAGCACCACCGAGTACCTCAACTACGAAGGTGGCAAGTTCAGCAAATCGCGTGGAGTTGGTGTCTTCGGCACAAACGCCAAAGAGACCGGTGTTTCAGCCGACGTCTGGCGTTACTATTTGTTGAAGAACCGCCCCGAGACTAGCGACACACAGTTCGAGTGGCAACCATTCGTTGACGCTAACAACAGCGAGCTGCTCGCCAAGTACGGTAACCTCGTTAACCGAGTTATCAAGCTCGTCACTGCCTCCTATGGCTCCGTCATCCCCGAGTTCACTGTCCCCGAGTCTTTCAACCCCTTCTTGGAAGAGGTTACTGGTCACCTGCGCCAGTACAACGAAGAAATGGAAGGCGCTCACTTGCGTGCCGGTGTTGTGACTGCCATGCGTATTGCCGAAGCCGGAAACGGTCTTATCCAAGCAAACCGTCTGGACAACAAGCTCATCGCCGAAGAGCCCGAGCGCGCCGCCGCCGTTGTCGGTACTGTGCTGAACTTGATTCACCTGCTGTCCGCCGTCTTCACTCCCTACATGCCTGCCAGCTCCAAGTCCATTCTGGAACAGCTCAACGCCCCTCTCCTGTACATTCCCCACGGCGACCAGCTCAAGGAAAAATGGCAGCCCACTTCATTGAAGGCTGGTCACAAGATCGGCAAGGCCGCCTACCTCTTCACCCGCATTGACCCCAAGAAGGCCGATGAGTGGCGCGAGTTGTTCGGTGGCTCGCAGGCCGATCGCAAGAAGAAGGAAGAAGAGGCCGCCAAGCTGGCCGCCAAGAAGGCTGCCGCCAAGGCCAAGAAGAAGGAGAAGAAGGAGAAGGGCCGTGCCGGTGCTGGTGCGGAGGCTGGTGGCGTTGAAGGCACTGCCAAGGGTGGTGCCGAGAAGATCTCTGCTACCACCGAGGGCAAGAATGATGAGGCCGTTGAAAAGATTGCCGATGGTGTGGCACAGGTTACTCTGCCCACTTCTTAAATAAATATGGGGTTGTGGTATATGACAGGCGTGCTGCGGTTTTCAATGATTTATGAGAGATGTTGCATATCATGGTTGGGGATCACTGGGAACAGTTAGCTCGTCTTTTACAAAATTCTTGTCTTTCATAGAAATACAGTGATTTGTTCATCGAAGTGTGAATCCCATGCCCTCTCTCTCTATCTTTCTTGTATTGTCCATCTTGGTATATCGATCTAGTTGCCCACGTTTTCCTCTCACTTGGTTGTTCCAGTTCCCACTGTGCCATCTGAGTGCCATTGAACAGGGCAGGTGATACGGTTACCTCTATTATCGTTGTAGAAGTTCAAACGGCCCCTTTGGTCGGGAAGTAGACTCCATCTCATTCAAAGGGTTTGAATCGGCCTCCACATTCCTCACTGTGCGTGGCTCACTCTGCGGAAATGCTTCGTACTTCCGACTATTTCGTCTCCCCCACCAGAATCCCACTCCTAGCATTGCTATTGCAAGTACTCCCAAAGGAAATCCAACACCCACCCCAATTGCGATATTCGTTGACTTGTTCTTCGAGCTTGGGGTGGAGCTGGCACGGTTCGCTTTAAACAAAGAGAAGCTAAGCGAAGGATTGTGTCGATGGCTCACTTACTGCCGTGTCGCATGTGGTCTTGTTCACACAATTTGAACTATTGAAATTCTTGTCGGTACAATAGTTTCGGTAGTATTGATTCTTCTTCGGCCAATAGCACAAACCATTTGATTGGCAAACGTCCGGAGAGGTATCATTTAACCGACAGCACATCGAATCGACATTCTCAAATCCAATGCATGGAAGATATCTCGAGTCCGCGATGGTTCCATCAGGGGCATAGCATTGCTGAGCGGCCGATATGAAGTGCGCGAACAGAGGAACGACCCAGATAGCAGATGACAGTCCCGTTGACACGACTTTCATTCTGTAAATTGCAACTCGGAAAACTTGGAGCCCGGGCATGAAGCCTAAAGGGAATTGGGAAGAATCCCTTTTTGGGGCTGACTATAATTGGTACAACGTGCCGTCGTAGTAAGTAAGGGCAAAATTGGGAGCTCACTCAGCCCCTAGGGTTATTACAAAGCGGGTTCTACTTAAGTATCACCTGGGAATCACCTACAGGACTTGGCACTTGAGCATATGCAGGTGGCCCTTGTATTCGCTGGGTAAGGCTTCTAACAACGAAATACTCGACGTGATTTACTTCCCCAATGAGCACGAGAGTCTAAGTCAACAGAATCTACTCCGTATGAATTACATCTATCATTTGGGATATTGTTTTCACTTTTTCACTCACATAGCCGACAAAATATTGGGAGAATACGAGTAGATAACAAGTCTCCTTTTAATTCGGCATTGGGCCACTTGCGATGAAGGAAAGTGCGCTAAGTATGTACTCATACTCGTAGTGGCTGGCCCCATTGAGCTAGGTACATGCACGTTCAACCGGTTTTTGCTAGGCAGGTCGGCCAACACTCTCTCTATTGGTCTGGACAGGGCTCAGCCTCATCGTATGGAGCACTCCGTGTTCAAATTAGAATTACAAACATGCCCCGTTCCTGGGGCTATATCTCGTAAAGGGGGCCGTCCAGACAAAGGTGCCAGGGGGAAAAAAAGGGTCTTTCATTGAAGACAGGTCAGATATGGAGATTGGCCACCCAAGCAACAGAAACCCTCTTTCTAATTGTTTTTCTAATTGTCTTTCTAATTCTCTTTCTACCCCATCTTCCTATCCTCCTTTCTAACCGTCTATTTTCTCCATCCTTGGATCATAAAGATAGCTTCAGATTCAGTGAACTAGAAATAACAGCAATGGCAGCAAGATCAGCAATAGCAATAACGATAGAAGTAAGAATGCAATAGTAGTAAACAGAGAAAGATTTGAAATAAGAACAGCATCACTTTTATTTACTACCATGTAATAGTAATTCAGACACCAAAGGGGGTTTTCGTTTATATCTGTGACCCTGTTATCAAAGCCATCATACAGGTGCCAGATTCGACAAGGAAGTAATAACTAGTACCTAGGTAGAAAAAAGCACACAGCTCTTATAAACTAAATTGGAAGAAGCAAACCCGTCCTGATATGTGCCCTAAAGCAATGCGACTCTTATAGGTTGCAAAAAAGCAAGGTCGAAAGTCTGGAGGGAGCCATACTACATTTTGACCATTGACATTGATCCACTGTCCTTGGTCAATTGAAAGTGGTAATACATCATCGCTTGAAGCGGAACTGGGCCTTTCACGTTGGTCCTCATCATCGAAGTTGGCCAAGTTGTGGATGGCAGATAAAAGATCTTCAGTAGTGCCCTCGACTTTCAAGGTCTGCTGCAGGCTGCCCGTCATCAGATCCCAGACACTTACGGTCTTATCATTGGAACCAGACACTAGGAGCTGTCCATCGGGCGAAAAGACAAAAGAACGAACTGTCTCCGAATGGCCCTCCAAGCTCTGCTGCAGAACCCCCGTCGTAACATTCCAAAGCTTTATTGTACGATCCATAGAGCCCGACGCCAATTGACTCCCGTCGGGTGAAAATCCCACTGATAGCACCCAGTCTGAATGACCATTGAAGGTCTGCACTAGACGTCCCGTTGCAGTGTCCCAGAGTCGCACGATGTTGTCGTTAGAGCTGGATGCTAGTAGCCGGCCATCGGGAGAAAATGTCATCGAATTCACCCTGTTGGCCTCCAGCCGGTTGCTGGAGGAAAAGACTACTGAGCCCCCGCAGTCGGAATTGCTCTCTAGTTTCTGTTGCGGGTCCATTGCTATCTCCCACACACGCAGGGTTTGGTCATTTGAGCCAGATGCCAGTAGCCGGCTATCGGGCGAGAACGCCACCGATGTAACATAGTCGAAATGGCCCTCCAGGGTCTCCTGTACATTTCCCGTCTCAACATCCCAAAGATAAATATTCTTATCGTGGGAGGCACCCGCAAGAAGCCGACCGCCAGGCGAGAAAGCCACGGATCGAATCCATGATGAGTGGCCCTGGACAGTTTTCGTGTCATCCGTCGTCAGATCCCAAAGGGTCACATCCTTTGAGTTACCACCGCACGCCAGGAGCTGACTATCGGGTGAGAAGGCCAGTGAGGAGGCCACAGCGGATATTGTGTAAAGCGCCACCAAGTCGCCTGTTTCCAGTTCCCAGACATGCACTTGGCGGTCCTTGGAGCCGGAAGCGAAGAACCGGCCATCGGGCGAAGCGGCTACACAGAAAACCTTATCACAGTTATCATCCAGAGTTTGCTGGAGATCACCGGTTGATATATTCCACAGCCGTACAGTATTATCGCTTGACCCAGACACTAGCACCCGACCATCAGGCGAAAAGCATACCGACTCAACACCGCTGCCATGTCCCTGAAGGAAGTGACGTATGCTGCCACTGGCTATATCCCAAATCAACAGGCTGTCAAGCCCATTTTCCGACAGCAGCTGACCGGAGGCTAGGAGCTGGCTGTCAGGCGAGAAAGATAGTGAGGTAACGCAACTGGAAGGGCCCTCAAGCGTTTTTCGTAAGGCTCCCGTTGCTGTTTCCCAGAGCCGTATTCTTCGGTCGTCAGATCCCGACGCCACCAGCTGGCCATCCGGTGAGAATGATACCGAGCTAATCCAGTCCGAATGGCCCTCGAGGATCTGTAACTCTGCGCCCCAAGTTTCGGGGACTGGTGGGGATTGACATATTGAGCCAGGGAGTTCCGACTGGAACTCAGTGCGGACGACTGATGTCCGAGGATCGAAGAGCAGCCCTGCCCAGTAAATTTGAAGAGGCGCTCGATTGGCGATCTGCAGATTTTTGAGAGTAAAACGCTTTGCATCGCGTATGAGGATGGACAATCGATCATTGTCGTTCTTCTTTTTCTATTAGAGTTGGACTGAAATGATGGAATGCTGGAATTCGCACCGGGATAATGGTGGAGAGCACCCCAAGTATCTCCACTACCTCGGAGATAAATCCTAGCAGACTCATGGCTTCCACCCAATGCAAAAAATGCTTTTTGAGAAATAGCAGTATATTATCACTCGCAAGAGTTACGCCGTGACTTCTGTTGAGATGATGTACCCAGTAGCGACAGGAGTATTGTAGCTCTGGTGGAAGATAAAGGCGCAAATTGTCAGGATCAATATCAGCCCTGCAAGTTCCTGGGCTTCCGAGATCGCAGATATTCCTCCGCAAATGACATCTCATATTATCGAGACAATATTGAGCGATGTTTCCATGCTTCTTTGGCTCATCCACGTGAAATTCGGACGTAGGCTGGACTAGAAAGTCCCGAAGCGATGGGTCCAGAATCCTAACCGTTTGATCCGCATCTTTGGGAATATCCACAGCAAACTTAAAGAGATTCAATCGACGAACGAGCTGGTCTGCTTCAATTCCCAGGAGAGCTGACAACGCGTGGGTTGAAATTGGGGCGGCCAAAAGTAGGATAACACCAACTATATTTTGGAAATCTTGAACATGCTGCAGTTGCTTTACCTCATATTCCTCCTGGTGGAGTGATTTCAACAAAAGTTCATGTCTTTCCATGTTGCTGGTTTGGCATGGTTGTTTGCGAGTTCTGAGACGCGCGGGTCCACCTCCGACCACGCGCAAAGGGCGGTTGAGCCTCATCGGATATCGCGTGCGTTCCCTAAAGCCCCGGTCACGTGACCGGATTGTGATCAAAGTTGATCGACCACCTTGCAACTATAAGTGGTTGATTCAATATATTTCTTTGAATGGTGGCCGGCTGGATGAGGATACTCAATGTAGGTGATAGGTAAGGGTTAAATCTTAGCCAACAGGGTGTCCTGCCATCTGACACCTACTTAAGCACCATGCTATGGATACTCCTATACTTAAGTAAGTATACATCCGCAGTGGCCCCCTCAAAGCCCAGACCAACCCGTAGCTAAGTAGCTCATGATGGGGTTACATGCCCAGGTCCTCATAAAGCCTTCAGTACAGCCCTGGTTCTTGTGCTTAAGTAGCTTTTTCAAACCCTTGCTAAAGATTGCCAAATCTATTTTCAAGTCAGAGACTTATCGAAATCCAGCTTATGAAGATTAGTCCGTATCGTGGATTTTCATTTGGATATTGATGTTTCCGTTTGAGTAGCAAGCTCGGCGCGTGTTGAGCTATCAAGCTCTGCGAGACTTCTCCCAAGAAGCTCTGTAGGCGGTGCATTGTCGAGTTCTGCGCGGGTTGCCCTCTGATCTGAAGCAAGATCAGGCACGAAACTCGTCGATGCAGGTAATTCAGCAGTTTGAAGCTGATTCTTTCGGCCGCTTCTTCTTCGCATACAGAACACGAGAAGAGCAGCAAGGATGACAAGCACCACGCCCACAGACGTTCCGATTCCAATTCCTATTTTTACGCCTGTCGAAAGTCCCGTGGAAAGATCCGTTTCCGGTTCCAACGATATAACTGGGCTTGTAGACATGATATATGTTGTAGTGCTTTTATGTGACGATCTGGAACCCGCCGCTTGCCACCGAATTGACACAGGATATGCATTGGTGTACTGAACGTCGAACCTAACGGGACCAGTGGGATCGGTATCGATCTGTGTGGTGGTCGCTGTCGCACAAGGCTCTGTCGAGAACCAAGAGCCGATTCTTCCCGGATCAAGCTGTTGGATTTGAATAATTGTATAGTTTCTGAAGATAGCGATGTAAGCTATTGTCTCTGGGGTCCTGTCGTGTAACTCACAATGGGCAGCATGTGGCTCGAGTCTCAACACTGGCATCAATGCTGAGCACGGAACTGCTTGCTATGGTATAGCCATGAGGGCAGATTCCAGGCGAAAAATATGCACCTGGAGTCCATCCGGGGGGGGAACACTCTGCAGCATTTGTCGGGCCGAGGTGCTGTCGTGTCAGATCTGTTACCGTAGTCACCAGTGTACTAAAAGTATATGTGTCAATTTTATAATCAATAAAATAGACGCTGCTGAGACATGAATTTGGAGGTGTGAAAGTTGTTGTCAGAGGTGGAACTGTAGCTGTGGCTGCCATAATGGTTTCGAATGTCTTCACAAGAGGCGCCGTTTGAATTAGAGACGTCTTTTGATATGCTGTTGCTGTAGAGAGACCTCCCGAGTTCTCGGCCCAGTTGAAGAAATGGGATATTGACCTAAAATAGGCTTGGTGACATCGCGACTTTCTCCTTTTCTTGGGCCTCCAAGCAAAGAAGAAGAAAGAGAGATGAAAGCTCTTGGATCACCATCGGAGAGAGAAGGAAGAAGAGAAGAGAAAAAGGAGAGAGCTACGGATCTATCTTACTGGGGACGATTTACAACCCAACCACCATTCCCTGTGTGCCTTGGCTTGGCAATCTCTCGAAACAAAATCCCGCGCATGACCAGATGTAACCTGGTATTAGCCTGAATTCGAATCAACCGTTTTCTTCTAGGTTTTTCTTATTTTTTTCCCTTACAAGGTGCGACCTGGGTGATCACTGTTGATGTCCCTCTGCACATCCCAGCATGACGACCACGACGGTGTCAATACTTCCTTTAACAACTGAATTCACCCCTCCACCATCCTGTCTCAGCGACTTGAGCCTGAAGACCGAGTTAGATGGCCAGATCGCCAGGCCTCATTACGACTTTTTGTCCGCAAATCATTCAGCATGTTTCCCGCCTGGCTGGGTCCCAATGTCTTATTTTTCACCTGGAATGTGCCCAAGTGGCTATTACATTGCTGAAAGCTCAATCGCAAATATTGATTCCTTGACAGATACTATTGGAACTTGTTGTCCAAGGTAGTTCATGCTCTCATCCCTTTCCTAGGAGACTTGGACCTAATGCTGCTTCACAGAGGTTATAATGTGACATTTTCAATTGGGATCCACGAAATTTCAACAACCCGCCCGTGCGTCTCACATACAGTGACAAGTACGGGAGCATATGAGGTTGGGGCTTTCGCATACCCTATCTTGGTCCGATGGCGATCGACGGACTTCTCCACGCCCACACCTACATCACCCCCTCAAAGCTCCTCAAAGGCGGAAGCAACACATACAGATACCCCGCAGCCCACGGGACTTACTGTTGGCGCAAAGATAGGAATTGGGACTGGTATTTCTTTCGGTGTGCTCGCAGCTATCCTACTGGCCTTGGGCTTTCTTATGGTTCCGACGAAAAAAGAAAAAGGCGCAGCAGGTTTCAAAGACAAAAAATGAAGCCGACTCGAGGCAAATATTGGAAAAATTCTCATCGCAGCGGTTCCAACTTCCTGCGCAGTCCGCTCCTGTTGAGTTACCCACAAATGAGATGGTTGGACTTCCTGGCAATGACCACAGAGGTATCATCTAAGGTTATAGTTGAATAACTGAATCCAGATGATGCGCCTCGATTGACAGAAAAATAAAAGAAAACATACAACGGTGGGGATTTGCTGGTACTAATTGAAGGTCTTGGTCGATTCAATACTGCAAAAGGAAAAAACACATAGATTGGTTGAAGAGGGAAGATCTATGTCAAACAGTACTACTTAAGTAGCTCGGCTTAAACGCGGCGAGTCGGGTAAAAGCCACCCGAGTGAGAAATTGGTGTCAGTCTGTTTGACACGTTTGCATGTAGCTCCCACATCAGGTAGATCGCTTCTTCCCTTCTCGATCCTCCCTTCTCCAAATCCAAACACCATTGCTTCTGCAGAATTTTGAGTCGTCAAGTCCTTTGAAGACAGTCCCGCGACCGGTCGGTCATCTGGTGGGGCTTGGCCCATACAAGTTCTGTAGCTCAGATACATCGGACATGGGAATATGAAATCGCTGGAAATGGTTGACTTCGATAGGCAAGCTATTTGTATTGCCTTTCATGCAGTCGCAAACGATCTCGGAAGGGATCTCGAAGCGCGAAAGATTCAAACCTCACGATTTGCCACGATGGGGCCCTTGAGACATGCAGATGCAGCCACATCACACATCCGACACTAACATCCGGTTTGCATGAGACCATTCACATACACCCACGACATCTGGCCCCAGAGTTTTCAGCTCGACAATTATTTTGATGATGAGATGAAATAACCCTCCACCGTCCCTCGGTTTCATACAAGGAGCTCCGAACTATGAAGCGATCGGACCCCAACTACTTCAAGTCCCTTGGCCATCGATTCAGGGGACTGTTCAAATCCCGAAACAAGCGGGGCTTTGCATCCGAACAGCAGCAGGAGCTGCGCTCTGGGTCTGGTTCCTCCACTTAAGATATTCCCCACCATTTGAAATCTCCTCCCCGATCCTCGTCGCCTGCTTCGCCGTCCAAGGCCAGCGTTACTTCAAATGATGACCGTGATGCTAACGAGGTCAACGAGGCCCACGAGTCTGATGAATTCAACGATGTCAATGATGCGCAACCTGTAAAGCCCAACGGTCTCTGGAAAGAGGCTTACGAGAAGATCTGCCAGGATGAGCGTAATGCAAAGCTCATCAAAGCCTACGAGGCTGCTCTTTTGCTCGAGGGTGACGAAAAGGCAAGTGACTTGCCAGATGAATCAGATATCAGCGCCCGTCTACAGTCAATGATAGAGCTCAAGTTCCAGGACTTGAAAGAGCTCACAAACAAAGTTTCGATTTGCGAACAGAGAAATCATCTTCAAGGACCAGGTCCGTCGCGCCATTGATGTGGTTCTCTCTGTGCAGAGTCTTGTCACTACAGCCGTCAGTTCAGAACCACATGCTGCTCTAGCATGGGCTGGGGCACTCATTCTCATGGGCCCCATTACCAGAACAGTGACCCAGGATGTGAAAGCTGAGGATGGGTTCGAGGACGTCACAAAGGTTTTGGCTCGCTACAAATTCAGGGAGGAGAAGTGGCCTGAGATTTTCTCTACCAACGAGACCTCGGTGGAACTCCACTCTTCAATCAGAAACCAAACCATCGATATATATCAAAAGATCCTTGAGTATCAAATGCGACTCACTCGGCACTACCTTCGTTCGAGCCTGTTTAGGACCGTGGAGAACCTTGCATGGCCCGAAGATTGGGAAGTAATGCATCAAGCCATACTCAATATCGATGCGTCTGTTTGCCGCGATCTGGGAGAGATCGGGCACGGAGAGATGGTGCACATCAGTGGACGCATGGAAGAGATTTTCAGGGACACGAAGACTTCTCAGAATGAAAGAGCTCGGATTCGGGAGGAAATTTTGGTATGTGCGCTTCCGTGTTAAATTTCTCCAGGTCAGGTTCTAACAGATATATCTAGAAGATCCAAAACTTCCAGCTAATCTCAAGCTTGACGATTGCAGATGGAGCGCGATTTGAATCCCCAAAAAATCAAGAGAGTGCTCGATGCTTTGAAGAAACCCAGGTTGAAGTTCTTAGACAGATCCGAGCTTGGATTATGTCCCCTGAACCAGCTCATATGTTCAGGCTTCCAGGAATGGCCGGTATGGGGAAGTCCACAATCGCACGAACCGTTGCGGCAGAGTGTCGCAATTCGAAATCTTTGACTGGCAATTTCTCCCTCGGAGCGAGTTTCTTCTTTGACGAAAAAGAAAAATCCCAAAATAATGCGGCGCGTTTGTTTCCTACCCTGTGTCGCTCACTTGCAGAATGTCTCCCGCAACTGAAAGCCGACATCGTCGAGTCCATCGGAAATGACAAAGACTTTGCAAACGGATCACTCAGCGACCAGTGGGAGAAGCTCATCCTCAACCCAATTTCAAAGTTGGAGGAGGAAAATCACCCTCTACCTTTGACACTGGTTGTGGTGATAGACGCCCTTGATGAGTGCAAGCCCAGAAGAGATGACATGGATGATGTTCATACCGTAGTGAACTTGATCGCCAAGGCTCACATACTGAAGGTCATCAGACTGAAATTCCTCTTCACTAGCAGGCCAGAAGCATATATCAATTCAACCTTCGAATCCAAGCCCGACACCCTTCTTCGCAAATATGAAGTCCAGAAAGTACAGCCGAACTTTAGCAGCGGAGATAGTGAAGACGACATTACTCGATGGTTGAGGCATCAACTAGGTGCAATCGCTGAGGACCATCAGCTTGGGCCTAAATGGCCTGACAAAGAGAGATTCAGAGGACTGGTCGAGAAAACTGACGGACTATGGCAATACGCTTCTACGGCCTGCAAGTTCATAGGCGACCGGCGTTTGAACCCTCCCAGCGTGGTAGTTGGGAGATTGGATCTCCTCCTAAAAGAAGGCGGCGACGTTCGGAATCGACCCCCTGAGCACAATTTGGATGAAATTTACGAACGGATTCTAAACAACCACGTTGCTTTTCTTGTCCCAGTCGAAAAAGTTAACGCTATCCGTCTTTTTCAAATGGCGGTTGGAGCAATCGTCGTGCTTTGTCAACAAATCTCAATCACGGCCCTGAGCGATCTTCTATTTGCGGATAAAAACGAGGTTGGACAGGCTCTCGTGGGATTAGGCTCACTGATACATTTGGGCCACGGCGAAGGCTCCCCGATTCGCCTGGCACATCTCTCCTTCAGTGATTATCTTCTTGACAAGAACAGATGTCTGGAAGGTGGCTTCCGCATTTCGAAGGAAGTCAAGCATGGTGAATTGCTGGGACATTGCCTCAAAACCCTTTCTGACAGTTTGAGATCTGATATTTCCCAATTTGGGAGCTTTTCCATGCTTAGGCAGGATATCGACCCACAAGTTCTCAGCGAGTGTCTTCCTGCTCATGTCCAATATGCTTGCCTGTATTGGATTGAGCATCTACTGTCAAGTGACAGCCATCCCCTTGACGATGGGCCAGTGCATGGCTTGTTGAAAGAACATCTTCTGAACTGGATTGAGGCTTTGAGTCTGATGGACAGGGTATCTAGTGGAATGCATGCTGTGGTGATGCTTTCGGGGCATTTAATGGATCTTCCTGTGAGTTTCATATCCATCATTCATATAACAATTCTAGGCCACTCACATCAATAGCACGATGGAAGACACGAGCTACGAGCCTTTGTCTATGACGTGAAACGTTTCATGCTTCATTGCAGATCTACCATTCAGATGGCACCCTTGCAGATTTACAGATCCGCTCTCATTTACTGTCCCTATGAAAGCCTGGTTCGGAAACAGTATGGGCATTTGATATCCGAATGGAGTACTCTGGTGAGTATGGATACAAACTGGAGTCCTTTGCTTCAGACCCTCCAGGACAATGGTTCTTGTCGGAGAATTGATGTCGCCTTATCATCTGAAGGCAAGCTGGTTGCTTCTTCTAAAGGGTCGGTCTGGGACACAAATACAGGGACACTCCTCAAAACCTTTGATACGAACGGAAAAGGACACGCTGTCACATTCTCTCACGGCGGAAATCATGTCATGATATTTTCTCTCCTTGGAGGAGTCGAAGTATGGGATGTGCCTACAGGGAGTCTGGTCCAAAAGACTGAATACCGGCATTCATTTGACTGGCCCGATGTCAACTCGGCTCAGAGGAGTATGACGCCAGATAAATCCCGCGCTGCCTATGCTCTTCAAGGCAAGATTGTGGTCTCTGATACGCGGGATGGCAGGGTAACTGACTTTGAAGTTACTTCGTACCCCACCTTGAGCTTGGCCTTGTCATTGTCACCTTGTGGTGATTATTTAGCGATCGTCGGGAACGGTGAGATGCTTCAGGTCTGGAACACAAACTCTGGTGGCTTAGTGCATGACTTCACAGAGGATCTCGCCGGGCAAGACGTGTCTCATGTGGCCTTCTCACATGATGGGCGTTTTGTGACAGCGGCTGGTTCAGACATTTGGATCTGGAGTATGGAAAATTTTGAGGTCTTCAATATTGATAACGATGACGTGGTCACTCACATCGCTTTTTCGCCAGTCGGAAGTTTTCTGTGTGCTTCCAGCGAATTCGATGGGGTTGTTTCATGGTGGGACTGGGCTTCCGGGACGCTTGTTAGCAGCATCAAGTCCGATCATGGTTTGAGCCAGCTTTCACAAGATGGCAGACTTTGCGCACTATTACCGTTTGATGACTCTTTTTCGGGTCGAGTGCCCTCAAATCAAATCAAAGTCTGGAATCCCAGCTCTGGCGAGGACCCAAGGTTCCTTGATGGCCACTCCAAATCTGCCCGGAGTGTTTCCTTTTCAAGGAATGCTTCTCTTCTAGCTTCCACTTCAGATGATGGCACTGTTCGTCTTTGGGATCTTACGGGTCACGCTGGAAGTCAGCGGCCGGTCGATGTTGGCCTAGAAACAATCACGCGACTGTATATTTTCTCCGACTACCAGCATGTGGTTGCATCAGACAGGCGGAAACAATGCCTCTGCAATCGTGGCACTGATGAGTTTCTTGAACATGTCCAAACCCATGATTCCATGATGATAGCCTACTCACCAAATGGCATGATGTATGCCTATATCCATACAATGGAGGTAGTCATATGGAGCATAGATGAGGGGAAAGAGATTCACAGGCTGAGCTCCAGAACAGACTACTTCTGAGATGAGAACAGTCAGCTAGCATTCAGCGCAGACAGTGAGCTTATAGCACATAGTTATCTTGGATTCAACGAGAATGATGAAGATAATCAACAGGGCCTGATCGAGATCTGGGAGGTGAGATCCGGTACTTCACGGGCATTGCTTCATCTGGAGCACTACAGATGTTCCGCCTTGGTGTTTTCAATGGATGCTAATTATATGGCCGTTGCAATTGATCTATATCCCAGAATTGCTTCAGTCACTGGTGATTCTAATGAGAGGGATACTGAGAACCATTGCTCGGTCGTCCCATTTCAGCCAGCCATATTGATTTGGAACATTTCCGATCGAGATGGTGACACTAATTCAGCGATGATATCAATATCTGCTGATGATGGAATATATGACGGGTATTGGCCCAAGATTGATGAGCTGGCATGGTCGCCAGATGGAAAGGTTCTTGCCTCGGTAAACAAGTTTGGAGATATCTTTCTTTGGGAAATCTCTACCAGGTCCTTGAAGGTAGAACTGGCCGACCCTGGCTGGTCGTGTTTTGAGGTTATCATATTCTCCCCCGATGGAAGATACTTGGCTGCCTCATGCTTAGAAGGGCCCACCGCTCTATGGGACATGTCCACGGATGAGTTCATCGGCACCCGACAAATCGGAGCAGAAAAGCACTCCTTGCATTTTTCTGCTGATGGCAAAACTATTGAAACCTCAATGGGCCGCCTTGATGTTGAGTCCTTTTATCCTGAGCCACGACGTGCATCTCATTTAGATTTTGCAGTGGAAGACAATTGGGTTTTGGTTGGGCAGGAAAAGGCTGTTCTGTTGCACCGCGATTACAAGCCCACATGCGTCGTCATTGCAGGAGATGTTCTGGTGATGGGCCATGAATCAGGTCGGATTTCCTATCTTCAAAGGAACTGACTTCAATATTGATCTTTTCACCGTTCAAACATGTCAACCGGCTCAACTGGGTTTCTTCATTCCGTAACAGAGTAATCAAAATCTAGAATTTTCTCCGGCCTGGTGAAACCTGTAGTATCGGTTTTATGCTAGATACACAGCCTACCTAAACTGCGGAAAGGATCTCCGTCAAGACATTGGCAAGCCTGTTAACATGGATTCCAATCCCCTCCCTCGAAACAGTATACAGCGGTGCAAACACTGTATGGTCCCCTCTGATCCCTTTTCCACAAATGTCTGCCATCTAGTGGCAACAACGCCAGCATTGACCGTTGGCCTATTAGCAAGGTAAGTAAATATCCTTAACTGGCAAATGGTTGACAATTTAGACTCACGGTTTTCAGATGCTAAACGAAGTGTTAGTGAAATCCTGTTCAATATGAGTTAAAAGAGGATCGAATGACTCACCAAACCACTAGGACATTTATGATCTTTGGGGAAGCATACATGTCCACAATTGCTCTTTCCCGCCTCTGCGGGAGCGGCGCTTACTGCAGCAGCTAGAAGGGCAGTGATTCCAAAGAGGACAGTGGAGAGTTGCATATTGAAGATACTCGGAGTGGAAGAAGAACTGAAAGAATGTTTGTAAATAATAAATTGGACTTCGAGATTTGGGCGTCTGTCTCGACCTTTTGTAGATACTCTGAAGAACAAAAAGAAAACATCTCAATTCTACAAGAAGGTTACATCCACGGATTGTGCATGTGCATATTCTCGTATCTGACTGTACCTGCATGTACTCAAGTAGGGCCAGTTTGGTTCATTTTTGGCGACGTCTGCACAGATTTGGGGGCTACTAGTGCAAACTGAGCTTGAAAATCTTTACCCATCTCACAGTCTTTCACTGGGAGTTCCCCATATATTTGAATATGTCTATGTATTATGCGTTCAATAGTTTGTGAAAGTTGCCCGTTGCACTTAGAACCCCGCGACGCCAGCCTGGAGGGGCCATTTTCAAAATCTTAGGTAATAAAAAGTAGCCCCCGTGGAGGCCCACTCACTCGCTCCAGGGGCTAGATGAGCCTGGAGCTATTTGATTTCTGGGACCTGAATGTCACCGAGCAATCAGGATACGAATACAAAAGATTTTTTCTCTCAATAACATGCAGTGATTCCTAAGTGGCTATTCAATCTTTACAGGTTTACAAAAAATCCAAAAAACCGACAGTGACAGGACTCAGCCGCAGAGTCACAATGCAGGATGCAGGCGGAACGAATGTGATACATGACCAGTGACAACCCCAACGGTGTTGCAAATTTTCGGGGAATGGAAATTCTCCAGGGCCTGGTGGCTCTTCGGTGTCCCAATCTGCAATCGCCTCAAGATCTCAGTAACGGCAGCATATAGCATGCTAATATTTCCATCCTCAATTTTGACCGCAATGCCAAGAGCACCGTTCGCTCCCAGATTCCGAGTCTGCTCCGACTCCCGAATACCAATTCCATAACAGCCATCAGCGCCAAGCTTGCCGATAAGCTGCCCGGGGAATGCGCGCATGAGCTCGGTACAGAATCTGCCTTCACCAGCGACAAGCTCGGGAAATTGTCCCATGGCGTTGAAAATCCGACTCAATGAGCGAGTGCGGAGTTGGGTGGCTGCGTCTTGGTCGTGGCCATCTTTACTGGTATGGTCGACGGAAGCAGCGACTGTCGCGTAGAGCTTGCCCAGTAGACGAAGAGATGTGGCGGGGGCTGGGAGATTGCAACCATCAAGGCCCCAGGGGACGTTCTTCTCGTCTGGATAGCAGAGCTCTTCAAAGACGCGCCGAACCTGTGATTGAATTGGGTGACTTGGAAGGTGGTACTCTTCTATACCGGCCCCAAGTGCCTTAGCCCCAGCAAGCATGCCCACATGCTTGCCTGAGCAATTACTGCATATCGCAGAAGGTGTGTGATCGCCTTTGATCCAAGCCCGATTCACGCTTTCGGAAAGGGGTGGGTGCGGTCCGCATCTCATATCGGCCTCGGTTGCATTTGCTTTGACCAGCATTGATCGAGCGCGGGAGATGTGCTGCTCCTCGCTACTGTGTGAAGCGCACATCAATGCCAAGTCTGCATCTTCAAAGTTGAAGTTGTCGAATCCAGGGGTTTCCAGAATTGCCAGTGTTTGAATAGGCTTTGCAGCAGATCTTGCTAATGTCATTCTTGTTGGGTCTCCGACAGAGAAGAGAAGTTTGCCGGTGGAATCCACGATGGCAGCGTGAACCCAGTGACGGTTTTCGACAACCCCACCCCTGTCGGTGATAATGGCATCTGCGGCTTGAATGAATGTCATCTTGAACTTCTGTGTGAAAAGAAAGAGCAAATCATTGAAATGTCTCGAGATCATCTTTCTTATGGAAAGTGGCGCTAACCCGATTAGGTGAGCCAGAACGAGCCGCCTTTACTTAGCCAATCAGAAAAGGCCGAAGCTCCGCTCTGAAGGTTAGTTCCACGGTTGATTCCAAAGGTCCAAGTCCTCACTTGATCTACACCTTTTCCGATAGTACCTAATTTCTCTACTTTGTCTAATCAAACAGGAATTGGTCAAAGAATTTATACATTGTTTGAAAGCAAATTCCTTCTAGTGAGAAATCGAGAAATTTCAACCCCAACGACCTTGAAAACAAAGAAAAAATAAAGGGAAGGCCCGAAGAGAAGTGTAAGGGGCTCTAGAGATAGCTCACCTGCGCATTCAAAAAGCAATATCGGCACCAGGACCATAGTTCTCATTCATGCGATGGGTGTAGTCATACATGTAATGGTCGAAGGTCCGCTCCTTGACGTATCCCTTTTTCTCGAGTCTGTACATCAAGTAGCAAACCCAAAGCTGACAACTCTGCAGTGGGATCTTACCTGCTTCTCGGAGAATGCTATTATACTTGGAAGCAGAGACAGTACCAATGTATTTGTGATAATCGATGCCCCGGCTGTCGAAGCGCTTGTTTTCATCAACGGTGAAATCCCGATGTCCCGGTCTTCCGGTGCAGTGAAGCCAAGTGCACCGCATATCATTTGGGTGAACCAGAAGTACCATCCAATGGATCCAACCAATATCGTTTGGCTTACACATGGCAATGAAGATCTCCAGGTGGTGATAATCAACGGCGGTGCAAGGCATGGCCGCGGTGAGAAATCCGTGAGCGGGAGAAAATATCTATATCAGTCAGGGGGCTAGATGCAGTAAATTTGGCTTTCCTGTTAGGAGGGTTGGGTTGCAATGTTATTGTTTGATGTGCTGATGAAGTTGACATTTACCAAGGATACAATCATATTTAAAGGCTTCGAGTCCATCATCCATACAATGAACTCACAAATGTCTTTCTTTCCTGTTTTCTATACAATGATAGGAACTTCATCATTGTGGTCATAATTCTTTCATCCCCGCCTTTGTCCTAGCTTGAGTCTGATAGCCTTGGAAATCTACCATATTCTTTTGTTAACACTCAACGAATCATAAAGACGGATATTCTTGTAAGGAAAAAGAAATTCAAGATATTTCTATGGAAAATGGCCGGAAATAAAACTGAAAGGATATCACTTCCAAGATTATGCATTATCATTGGATTACAAGGTTATTTAAAACCTCATATCAGACCAGTTCAGTCAATGTATCTGAGTAAATGATTCAAAATTAAAAGAGACCAAGTTTTCTATGTTTCACGGGGTATATCCTAAAGCAAATAGCAATCTTAAAACCTAAGGCACCAATCTCTCAACACAAGCATTCGCTCTAGAGCTGTTGAGACACCCCACATCTGGTAACCTGCCACTCGTATGTATATTATCATATATGAGTACCCACTTCCTAGTTATGCACCAGTATTACATTCTTACGAGTTGTACGCCCCTTTAAAGGATGCGGGCTGACTCCAAAGTTGTGGATCGATTGCCCCGCATTCAACATGTCTACATACTCGTATTTACAGAGCCTGTACGGAGAGCTCGTAAATCTCGCACATTATCTACCACAGGCCTCGCCGGCAGCTCAGTGGGAAAACTTACGGTGTACATATGCTTTTGTTTTGGTGCAGTCCACTGTGTACCACGCTTTCTCGCAAGGCTCCGTTCGGATGAATTGGAATGATCTTGAGATGCAATTCGTGGGTTTTAGGCTCTCGAGGCTCCGCTTTCGGGAAATTCCATGAATTTGAGGCTAGTGGCAATATCATTTTTGTGAAATCTCATCTACTGGTACAGATACGGGTGCTTCATAAATTGTAGTTGATGTCTAAGTCTCTACTTGTCCTTCTATCGAGCGCCGAACCTGTTTCTGCACAAAAGGCTTGCGCATTTTCAAGAATGTCTTACTAGTGACTTCAGGTAACGACGATCATCAATAGTGGACCCAAAAGACAAGGTGTGGGCCTCGGGAGAAGCGCTTCCGCTGGCGGTTGGCGTATTCTAGTCTTGAGGATCGGGTCTTCTCCTATACGAGTAGTGCAAGTATATGGACATGAGCCTGATCACATGTATTATGATAATCTGTTTCAATATGAATCTCTGTCCAATGTCTCTGTTTAAATAAGCTACTCAGAATTGAACTGCTCGTACTCCGTGCAAATATTTTTGTCCACGGCAGACCCACAGGGCAGATTGACTCTTTCATGTACTCGTACGAGTACGAGTACGTACGTCAACCTCCGTTTTACTAAACCCCAGAACATCTCGAAAGAGCAAGTTTCAGTCGATCATCCTCATGCATTGATATTGAATACTACGCTATACAAATGCACGTGTGCTATACAGCCCTCAATGGCTTATTTTTGGAGAATTGAGAGACAATGATTCAGACGATCATCCCCCACTCGGAAACCCCCTGGACTTACCGCCAAAATGCACTTTTCATGGATGATAATTCTGAGGACTTAAAAGGGACCTTGAATCCCCGATAGATAGAAGCATCAAACACTCTTGTCCAAACCACTTCCAAACTCACTTCCACAACCTTCACAATGGTCCGCCTCTCCGCCCTCTTCACCCTGGCTCTTGCCACCGTTTCCCTGGCCACCACCAACTCTCAGTGCCAGAAGGACTTCAACTCCTGCCGTGTCGGCGCTGATGCCAACCACGCTCAGTGTGCCGCCGACCACGCTCAGTGCTGCGCCGACTCCTTCGATACCTGCCGCAGCGGCCCCGATGCCAACCAGGCTCAGTGCGCTGCTGACAAGGCTGCTTGCAACGGTCAGAAATAAGTCTCATATCCGTCAGTCAATTGTTTTCAGTCATGACCTGTACATATCCAAACATGAGATCCTGCCAAAATTTGTCTGGAATGATCCATTTGGATATGGTCAAATGATTGATCGGTGAAATAAGAAGGGGATTTTCGATGACTGGTTGAGATGGAAGCTTTGTATATATCTTAAGTAAACACAACATGTGTTCCTCGAGTACAGAGTATCTTGAGTGTTAGTCAACCCCAATTCACTGACTCAACCCAACAACATCAGTTCATACTTTTTCTTATTCCAGCTTGAAATATTCCACTGTGAAGTTTTATCTGACACATAAGAGGGCAAGGTGTAGAATTCTTGTCCGATTTAGTCATGCCATAGCTCTAAGAAGGGGGTTTTTTTCAAAAAATAAAAAAGAAAAGAAAAGAAAAGAAAACAGACGGAGCCCTTGATTTCAAAAGGATCGTGGCTACCTGGTATCTACGGTAGTGGGGGATCCGCCTACGCTCCAGCATGCAGCTCTGCCGAGGTCTATCCTATAGAAGTGCGCCCGGGGCAACCTAAATCCCTTCCATATTCGTCTCAGCATCTTATTACACAGGCTTCTATCGCATACTCAAGCTACATGCTCGTGTAGTAGGTCTTCTGGGGTGACCCTTCTTCCGGACGAATCACAGTCCAACGGCGACTCAACGCGCGGGTCTCAGTGAGAGCAACACCTTCCAGCATATCGACCAGGGCGTTTATTTTCATCGGAACCTTCTTTCCAGGGCTTTGAATCCACCTATCAACTTCAGTTCCTGAATTATTGCAGCCTTTGATCGATATTGCAAGTCGACTCGCTGGATCAAAAGGTATTGCTTGAGACGCATAACGATGAGAAACCGCAATCTCATATAGATGAAATTGCACAAAAACCTTGCTCCCGGGTGATATTTCAAGTGACTGGGGTAGGGGGAAGTTGAATTTGCCGCATAAGATATAAGCGCGGTCGCGGCCTCGAGAACAGCACCCAGTTACCTCTTTGCCCTCGATCTGATAAACTTTCATATCATCAATGGCATGCTTTTCATTAGCAACCCAAGCCTGTCGCAGCTGTCTCCGATTATTTGCAAACCAATAACAGCGGAGTCGCGGGTCAGGGGAGTTCCGGAGGTCGTTATATGAAGCAGTAGCGTGGCGTGCCCATAATCGAACGGCGGGGTCAGCTGACCGCAAAAGTTCTTCGAACCCTGCCCGGTCAAACACGTCCTTTCTTGCTGGTGAATCCTCGTCATGAAACCTTTGCGCGATAGGCGGTACAACGTTAAGGTGGCGGCCGGCGGTTGTCCGGTCCACAGATGGAGGTAGGTATGTGTCGAGATCTTTGGCAGTGAGCGTCCGAAACAAGCAGGCCATCCACATCTCCAATAGATTCAGCAGACATTGCTCATATTTAGACAAATTCCGTTCAGCGGCTTCGTTCTGAAATATTGCGAGAATCACGAACTCGGAACACATGTCTTCTTGCGAATCCCAAACATGATAGTGAAGACTGGGATGTTTTCTGCGATAGACCCTATCATTATGGTCTGATATCCTGTTTCCCAAGTGTCGTGCTTGGCCAACATATAGCCAGAAGGTCTGGGGATCATTCGGGTACCAGATGATGTGCAAGTAAATGCCAGCGGCGCTTGCTTTGATGTCTCCGCCGATCGAACGTAATCTAGTTAAAATTTCATTAGAGACCACGAGGGAGAAATCTTTTGTGGTCCTCAGAGTCATGAGCACTCACCCATTCAGAGAGAATATTCCTCTGTCGCTAACCAGCCTCACACCAGGGGTGAGGTTACTCTCAAGATTCGCATATATTTCCAGAGTGGGATGTTGCTCCAAGACCTCGTGATACCGTTCGAAATGGAGCTCACTGACTCTGAGAAGTAAGTGTTTGGCGCAATCCCGTCGACAAAGCGGTGTGAGTTTCAGGGGTCGTGGAAGTTTCGCTTCTATTGGAATGTCAAAGCCATTGGATTTCCGTTCCAGAACCAGCTCTGTCCGTTGCAATGGACGGTCAGGTCGCGATTCAACTTTATCCGCTGCTAAGAAACAGTCGTCGCTCTCGCTTCCGCGTGCTGCTTCGATTGATGATTTCCGTCCCACCCTCTTCAACTGATATGCTTGCCGTCCTCGGCACATAGATTTCCGAATTGCGCACTTCGCTTGCCGATGTAGGTCCTCGATGTGGACCCTCCAATCCTCGTCTCTCTGCTCCTTAGCGGTTTTGACAAAAGTGCTTTGATTTGAGTTGGAGGGCTTCCGTTGCTTTCGGTTCAGACAGAAATAGAACAAATCGACGGCTTTCACGTATGCGTATTCTCCGAACCCTTCTTCTTCCATCCGAAAGGGCTCACCCAGGGGGTCATCGAAATTATCCTTGAATTCATCAAGCAGTCGATCCACAACTTGGACACGGACTTTCTCTTCGGAGATTGTCTCTTCAATCGCAGCAGTTGGCAGAGCATCAGCATCAATTTTGAAGTCGAAATCATCGACAAGGAAGTAGAGCATGTGTTTCAGAAACGGTAGAAAGCGGCAGGTGTTTGTGTTCTCCTGGAAGTATTCCATGTAGATCTGCACGGCCTCATCACTGGGAGGATCCATGATATCCTCGTAGTATGGTAACACTCGCACTGATGTGGTTGCAGATTTGGGGTACAGGGTCGCGTTGGCTCGATGAGAAGTAGAAACGAATTCACGTGTATCGGTTGTGGGAAAGACGACTCGAGTGCTAAAGAAAAAGGAGAGTGAATCTCAGAATTGACATGGATTTTTTACTTTAAGAAAAGCGAGATGTCGAAGGAAAAAGAAGCTCTTCAGCATCAAGTCTACCTATCATTCCATGTCTGTCTAGCATTTTCATTCGTCTCCCCCCACCCTCCTCAATCATTACTGAAGCTTGACTTTC